ATTATAAATGTTTGGGATGGCCGTTTCATCTGATTCAAAACTACTTTGATCATTGAGTGATTTGTGGTTTGTAACAGAGAGGTGTGTGTCGAATTGAAACGCTTTTCACTGGATGTCGCTGCTCTGTTTAATAATGATGTCTGGGACCGGGAGTAAACGCAACTTCTTTGAACATGCGTTCCGTTATCCACTGGGCCGTGCTGCGTAGTGCAAATTAGTGAAACAACTAAAAACTGAAAGTTGTGTTTACTTGTGCTGTAATAACACTTTAATAAATTAAGAATGTAAGAAATAGTTCACCCAAAAATTCTGTCATCAATTACTCACCGTCATGTTGTTCCAAACCAGTATGAAGCCTGTATTTTGGGACAGCGAAGAATTCAGAGGTGAAATAATTATTTTTTCTGTCCATGCTGTTCCAATCCAAACTCAAATGACTTACTTTCTTCTACAGAGCACAAAATGTGAAAATTTCATGAATATCCAGCTGGATAAATTCAATACAACAGCAGCACATTGTGACTCACTTTATAAAGCACAAAATTGCACCTTTTACATTGGTACAATAAGAAAAGAAACATAGGAAGGCAATCCCTATACAGCCATACTGTTGAATTCATCCAACTGGACATTTGTTGTGTTCCACAGAAGAAATTAAGTAATTTGGGTATGGACTGGAACTGCAAGAAGCAGAATGATTTCTGAATCCTTCAGTGCCCCAAAATAAAATAACATGTTTATGTTATGTTTTAGTTCTGTTTACTTTTTACTGTTTACTTTTGTTAAATAAAACTGCACTTGGGTTCTACACTTCAACTCGTCATCAGTGGACTTTGTTACACTGTATCTTTAGCATCCATTTTGTTCATGTTCTCTTTACATGTGCTTGGACCCCAACGATTGCCACATTCACGTTAAATGTAAAATACAATGTTTTGTGTGACCAAAGTGATTTATTGCAAGTGTCAGCATGACAGTGTTGGATGTTTCTATCACGTATCTTTCTAATGTAAGGTATGTATCTTTCTGTCTCAGATGTGTTCTATTTCAATGTTTTGTATTGATTATCTCAGAATGGTGTAATTATGGATTTGGCATGATACGTGATTACTTGAAAAATATATATTTGATTTTATATATTGAACTTTATTCGAAAATTACAGTATTGCCTCGGTTTATTGTCAAGTCTGTTTCTACAAATCTACTATCAGACATGCATACTAAGACTCTGCATTTGATGGAAAATGGGGCAAATCAACTGGCATCTAGCTTTTAGAGGAAACAACTTAAGTTAAGGCTCTAGTTAAGTGTATATACCAGGTGGTATTCCAGAAAGCAGGTTAAGCAACATACCTGGGTAAGTGTATGGATAAGTAAATGGAAACCAGCTTTCGATTCCAAATACTGAGGTAACTTTAAGAGCATGCAAGTAGCCATAGCAACATATGCTCTGAACATGATCTGTTCTGGAGTTTAGTCACCATAAACAAAAGAAAAAGAAAGAAGTATGACACTTCTTAGTGTCCGTTTGCATGGTGACTCTGGGATGTGGTGCTCTGTTGAGAATTTCCTTAGCTGTGTCCAAAATTGAATACTGTATCATAGGTACTATGTTTGGTTTGGTTTGCTTTACAACTGTTCAAAAAAGTACATTCTATATAGTATTAATGTTTGTAGTATGAATGAAATTCACTGTCATGTGTCCTATCAGCGTCAGTTGCGTAGCTTCACTGCCATTCACAACTCCTCTCCCATGGCCTCATGATATAGTGGGAGCGATATAAAGGGAGCGAGGGATTCCCGCGGGTCTGGCGACTCACAGCTCTGTCGGCGCAGGAATCCCTCCGCGCTCCCTTTCTGGACCCACGAGGACACCAGTGTGCATGCACAGGGAAGAGACTGGTCTCTTGAGGAGAGGCGCGCTCAGCATTTAACAGCGGCTGTGATGAGGCTTCATTCTCATCAGGTGTGCCTCATCACACGCCGCCAATTCTCCCCTTCAGCACCCCTCCCCTACAATCACACACACTCCAGTCGGGAACCTGGCGAAGGGCGGCGAATTAAGGGACGGGGTGGCGCTGATTACAAGGGAGAGGCAGACGATCCATCACACTATTAAGAACAGGTACCCCCTGCCTCTTATGTCTTCAGCCTTTGAGGTTTTGCAGGGGGCTGGATTCTTCACAAAGTTGGATTCAAGCAACTCTTCCCATTTGTAAGGGTGGGGGACGAGTGGAAGAAAGCTTTTAATACAGCTACGGGACACTTTGAATATTTGGTTTTACATTACAGCCTGTCTAATGCTCCGGCACTCCAAGCACTCGTCAATGGCGTGCTGGGAGACATGATAAATAAAGTTGTCTTTATGTACCTGGACGACGGTCTGATCTATTCTTGTTTGTTTCAGCTGCACATCCAGCACGTCAGGCGAGTGCTGCAGCGGTTGCTGGAGAATTAGTTATTTGTCAAAGTGGAGAAGTGCATGTTTCATGCCCAGTCAGTTTAGTTTCTGGGGTCCATCATTTTTGTAGAGGGGATTCGCATGGACCCTGCGACAGTAAGGGCCTTTTCTGACTGGCCGACACCTGACTCTCGAAAAGACCTTCAGCAGTTCCTAAGGTTTGCCAATTTTTATCTGCGTTTCATTAGGAACTTTAGTCAGGTGGCAGCCTCTCTAACAGCATTATCATCCATCAAATCTAAATTTATTTGGCCTTCAGCTGCTCAAGAGGCATTTTCTAAGCCCCAAGTCCAAATTTCATCTCTCATTCTTATTACTCTGGACCCATCACATCAGTTTGTGGTGGAGTTAGAGGCCTCAGAGTTTGGTATCAGAGCAGTCCTGTCTCAAATATCCCCTCATGATAATAAGCTTCATTTGTGCTTATTTTGTGCTTATTTTTCCTACCGTTTGTCTACTGCAGAGCAGAATTATGACATCAGCCAATGAGAGCTCTTGGTGGTCAGTCTGGCTTTGGGGGAGTGGTGTCACTGGCTGAAGGGAGTGGCTGTTCCATTTGGGGTGTGGACTGACCACAGGAATCTGAAATATATTTGATCTGCTAAATGCTTGAATTTCAGTTGTTCTTCGGGCACTTCAACTTTGTGCTGTCTTACAGAACGGGTTCTAAAAATAAGCCTGACATATTGTCCTAGTGTTTTGGTGCCCTGGATGATGTGCCCTATCCTAATACTATTTTGCCATCGGGCCATGTGGTGGGGGCCGTCGTCTGGGGCATCAAGGATCGGGACAGGCAAGCTCTAATCTAGTTGAGGTGCCCAGGGTGATATCCAGCAGGTCTGCCTTTAGTTCCTGAGGGTGTTCTCGCCGCCATTCTTCAGTGGGGCCACGCCTCAAATAAGCATGCCATCCAGGAATGAGTAGGTCGCTGGCAGCCATCCGTCAGCGGTCAAATCATCAAATTAGCATCGCCAGTTTTCCCTTCCCATGAGTGCGCCAGGTGGCGTTCCTGAGAGAGGGGGGTACTGTCAGGACTCAGGTTTGATCACTCTGTCTCTTTTCTTAGTTTTTATTTTTGTTTTCTTTCTTTCACGTGGCGATTGCGCACACCTGTTCTCATTGCCATTTGTTTTCTTGTCTTTTCTCAGTGTCTTGCCAGTTTGTTTGCTCACATGAGCTGCTTGGTCAATTCAGTCAGATTTTGTTAATTATTTTTGGGTTTTTGTTCTCTGCCTAGTTAGTGTTGTCGTTCCTGTCTCACCTTTTTCTCCCAACGTTGGATTGGTCACCCTGGTTTGGCTATCCCATTCGTTCCTGACTCTGGATCTGAACTTTCTTGCAAGTCTGCTTCATTAATGAACAGTACATTTGAGTGTGACTACAGCACGCGAGTAATTCCAGTTTTATTGCCTGCCTGGTCTTTATCATCTTGCTCGTTGGACTCTAATCTTTCATTCCTGGATCTGAATAGTTGATGGCTGATTAAGAGTGAGACCTGTTTGACCATCTACCTGAGTTGGTCTGGAGCCAGCTGAGTTTTTGTCCAGGAGTATATTTCAGCATTTGTCAATAAAACTGTTAAGCATTCTTCTGCTCTTGGGTCTTTTCTTCAGTAGACGTGACACTTTCCTGCTCCACAGATAACCACAACATAACCAACTAAGCGGTAGAGGATGGCACCTTTAGAATGGTGCAATAAGACCATAATCAGGACAGGGGCAAAGTCCAAGCAAGACGGGCCCACCGACAGGGCCTACAAATCCCCCATTTTTTAAAGAGACATCAAGACTAGCAGAAGAGCCACCTTAAGGGTCAGAAATTCAACCAAAGCTGACTAGGGAGCCTGATAACCCTTCCAGGAAGGAACTCTCCCTGGACAGAAAGGCCTCAGCCTACACGTAAAATTGGAGACTAACGAATGTCTCCTCGATGATTCTCCATCAATAAGCGCATGCTCAGCAGTAATGGCGGCCACGTATTCCCTTAAGTGTCAGAGGAGCCGCCCCAGAACTCTGGAACCAAGGGACCAATTGTATAGTTGGCACCCAGCCATCCTTAGTGGGGCAGCCTATAGTAACAATCTCTTGTGCCCTAATAGCCTTCAAAGAGAGGATGGGTACTGCACTCCGCAAGCTGTTTTGCACAAAATAACAGAAGAACAACCGGTGGGAACTGTGGGGATGGGTGGGAATGAAAGCATTTTCATTTTAAAGGTCCCGCCGTGCATGAACTCAGAAACACACTTGAGATCCTTGCGTTCAGCCAAAAATTTAAATTCTGTCATCATTTACTCACCCTCATGTCGTACTAAACCCGTATGATATTGTTCATTTGTGTTCTGCAGAAGAAAGATATGCTTACAAGGTTTGGAACAACATTTTGGGTGAAATATCCCTTTAAGCTGTTGGAAGATGAACACAAAGCAGAGGCCTGTGTTTCAAAATCCCTTTTTTTTTTTTTTTTTATAAAAGCATACAGGGCAAAATTCATTGTCCTGGTCTTTGTAGGATTCTTCATAATCTCATGGTTCTCTGCTTACCTTGAACTCTAAGAGGTTATGCATCTGTTCCATCTCTGTGGTCAACATGCCATCGTCATAATCATCATCCTCTTCTTCGATGATTTCAATCTTCTAAAAGAAAGTTTTATGTTTGAGTTACTAGCAATGGTTGGGTCAGAGTTTGGGTTAACAAATTCATGAATATGGGCTCATACCACATGTTTAGCAGGGGTGGAACTATCAGATTCATCATTCATATCATCATTTTCTTTCAGATAATAATCACTGGCTCCATCTTTAAAAAGAAAAAAGGCAAATGTACAATTACTACACATTAAAATGTCTTGAAACAATACAGTTTCCTGTATCTTCAATGTAATTAACAAATGCATAAAATGTGATCTCATCTGTCAACAGCATGAAAATCTTGCCCACCATCAGACAAACAGAGTGACATAGCATCATTGTGTTCGCCGGCCTCTCCTAGTTCCGGACAGTCGTCTTCAAGGATGTGAGGTGAATGAGGTGCAGTAGGATTTGGGAACGTGACCGGCCCTCCTTTAGGCGGCGGAATTTCAATGCCCATCAAACGGTACTTCCTTCTACGGTTACCAATCCACGTCTGTCAAATACAGGTTTACAAAAAGGCAAAGACATGACATATATATATATATATATATAAAACGTTGGATTTTGATGCAACAATATATAAAATTATGGATTCCAAGAATAAAGTGAGATAAAAATTATAGGGCACTATTTTATGAGAATGAAGTCATATCACCGATAAACAAAGATGTAATGTGAGAAAAGGGATTGGACTGTAGGTAGACTATAAATGAGAATCAGGAGGGTCTGGAAGATTTGGTCAAATTGTACTTTAACAAACAAGCAAACATTTTAGTAGTACTGAAATCTTTAAACTATGTGTGGAACTTTGTTTATCCATAAATCCACTGGCTCGAAAAATTACCTTGTAATAGAACAGTTACTTTGGACATTATCACTAATTAAAGACCCCTTGAAATCAAGTTAAAGTTTTGATGCTTTTGGTCTGTCTGTTAGCTATGCTCATCTATACTGTACTTCTAAACAATGACTAAATTCCCTTTCAGAAGATTTACTGATATACTTCTACTTAAACTCTCTCCTCTGGGAGCAGGGACCCAGAAAATATGATGACTTACAAAGCACTGTTTTTGTCCAATCAAATGCTTTCTAGAATGAGAACGTCCCCTCCCCCTAAATTATAAATAACACATGCAGTTTGCTACTATTACTTTGAGCTCATTCTATAATTGAGAGTATATTTCACATCAAAGAACAAAAACGATATGCTTTCTCAATAAAATTACATCATTACAATTTCATCATTGTAACATATCTGCTAGTTGCCAAGCTCAATAATTAAACACCATTTTGATATTACAAGGAGAAGGATGTTTTCCAAGGCAATTTCAAGCAAACTGAAACAGTGTGCACAAAATATTTGTGTGCGATTATAATATGCTTTATGCTAAGACAGAAAAATATCATTTTTGTAAATAAAACATCATTGTCATCAATTGACTAAAACAGTAATCAGACCGTAACTTAGACACAAATACATTTTGACAGAATACCACAGAGACATCGTCTCACCTGCATGCCACTTCTTGATGCTAAATTAACATTTATATTATTATCTTAATAATGTGATATTATATTCTCATTAAATTATGAGGTTTTATCCCTAAGGAAATGTGCAATGTAAAGTAATGAACAGTACTTTTGATAAATACCACTGACATGATGCACATTCAGATGAAGACACTCAGTCACATCAGGCGCCTAGCTAAACCTTTCTGTGACGCTGCATCTACTCGATAGAAAAACAAAAAAAACGACCTAAGGAACCTTTTAGCCTATTCGATTATTGAAAGAAAATGTTTAATTATTCTTCTAGAATTATGAATAATGAAATTGTTTACGAGGGAAAAATGCAAAAACAACATTTTTGCCACTGCATTATGCTGTGTCTCTGCTTAAGTATAAAAGAAGACAAGAAAAAGATGATTTCTGTACAGACTCCTGACCTTGATAATTTCAGTGTCCACGCTGAGTTCATTACTTGCAGCTGAGATCTTCTCTTTGCACAGAGAGCCCAGGCTGGTCATGCCGTTATCCCAGTAGCGCTTCAGTGTGAACAAGTCTCTGTCGCTAAACTGCGTCCTGTCCTGCAGCTTAATAAACACTACACCTTTTATTAAAAGCCATCATCAAAAACTGACAGTAAAATGATCTCTGCTCAATATAAGTGCTAGAGAAGAGCATCAGCATATTGGAGAGACTCACCGTTCTTTTCCGGGAGTTACTATGAAGCCAGGGAGCTGACATGTTACTCGTTACCTGAAGAAATACAAAGCAAAACATTTTCTTGAGGCCCTTCGGGAATTGAGATAAGCCTGAGTCTGATCCTTTCAGTAACGTGCTTGTCTCGGTAATTTAGACACGCAGGTGTACGTGCAGAAATAAGAATGAATACTTGTGATATCGAGATTGATGCTGTATCGAGGGGATCGATCCCCACATAAAATATTGATACCAAATGTTTTAACTTTGAGTATGTTTTTAATAGTGAAAATGAATGCACAAAATAAACTTTAAATTGGTGGAGAAAAAAATAACGGTAACACTTTACAATAAGGTTCATTAGTTAAAATTAGTGTATTAAAGGTGCAGTGTGTGATTTTTAGCGGCATCTAGAGGTGAGGTTATGGCAGACAGGAAGTGATGTCGTCATCTGAGACAGCAGAGAGTAGACAATTAAGCAATGAGGTTTCTTTACAAAGATAAATTAAGAAATGATGTTTACTTTATTCAGTAAAATGATATGTTATTGTGAATATTATTGTTACTTGTTCATCATTGTGTCAGTGTTTTATTCGCTGACTTTAGCTAGCTTCTTTCCATGAAGAACAACATAGTGACGAAACGCGCTCTGTAGTAGTTTGTCCGTTTAGGGCCACTGTAGAAACATGGCGGCGCAAAATGGCGGTGTATTCAGATCGAAATGGCTCATTCTAAGGTAATAAAAACATAACGGTTCATTATGTAAGGTATTTATACACCCCTGAAAACAGTGTTATGTATATGATATTGCATTTCTGTCTACAGATCCTCCTACATATTACACAATGCACCTTTAACTAACATGAACTAACCATGAGCAATCCTTTTTTTACTGTATTTTTCAATCTTTAGTTAATAAAAATCCAGTTGTTCGTTGTTTAGTTCACGGTTAGTTCACGGTGCATTAATTAATGTTAACAAATACAACGTTTGATTTGAATAATGTATTAGTAAATGTTAAAATTTGCATTAACTACTATGATTAATAAATGCTGTAGAAGTGTTGTTCATTCGTAGTTCATGTTAACTAAAGTAGTTAACTAATGAAACCTTATTTTAAAGTGTTACCAAAATTACTTTTTGTGCTTTCACATTAATTTGGAGATTCAGTGCAATTTATTTAGTTACTTTTTCTTGACCAATCAAAATGATATTTCGTGTGAATCAAATTAATTTGTCCCTGTCCAAATTAACAGCCATTAATAGCAACTTTACAACAATCGTAACAGCACACGGGGTGAGGCTCGTCCAGAAAATGTGTGGGTCACTGTGAAATAATCAAAAAATAATAATCAATGTGACATACCTTGAGACAGGGGATTCTGGAAGATGTCTGCAGGTTTAACGGGAAGTTGCTAGGGGAGGATGATCTGACCAATAAGGAGCTGCTGGTCTGACATCCCTTTTCCCCAAAGAGAGCAGAGTTTGAGAGGTTCAGCGCACAGCCCGAATGGCTCCTCTCTGTTAGTCCCGGACTGTCAATCAAAGAAGAGGAGCCAGCGCTGGAGCCCACGGAGGCTTTCCCGCAGTGCATCTGCACACCCATGTTCGCTAGCTCTTCTTCTCTGGAATACTCGTCGTCAGCGTCAGCGGTTTCCATCGCAATCGAGAAGATCTCTGACGCGTCGACCGGCCTGGTTTTCCTCACCGCGGTGTCTCGAGTGCTTCCCGGGAGAGCTCGCTGCGACAGGTCCTCTAATCCGGCCAGGGTGAGAACATGCTGAATCTGAGCGCTGCCACCCACAGGACCGCAATGATCCAGCGCCGTTTTCTGAGGCCATGACGGATGCTGGGACGTCCTGCACTGCTTGGCCCAACTGGGAGCGATTCCCGCAGAGTCTCTAGAGCTTAAGGGTTTAAGTGCTGCGCTAGAGCTGGGGATGACGGGGACTTTCCGCTGTATGCGCTCGCGAGCGGGCAGCTCCATTTCTGTGTGCGAGGGCAATGATTTCATCCCTGTCCTGTTGAGAGCTGAAGCATCAAAGCAGCTGGCATAAATGCCTGTTAAAATCACATCACTGTGGCCACTGAGTGGGGAGGAAGATGAGGGAGAAGAGGAGGATGAGGAGGATGAGGCCTGTGGAGGGAGGAGGTGGGTCACAGGTCCTCGCTGAACGCTCCTCATGGCTGCCATCTCAGCCGTCAACACCGACCCGGCCACGAGCGCGCCGGCAGATCCACAGGGAACGTGCTGATGGGACAAAACTTGAGCAGGTGCACCATTCTGGTCCGCTTTCGAGGCCAGCTTCCGTCGCTTGTTTCCTACCCATGTCTAAAAAGAGAAAAGTAGAGACATGCACTGCCATCAGGTTTGAGAAAGTCTAACTATTCCACCAGGAGAAATGTTGGAGGAATGTTCCTGCTGCACTTTTCCATTGAATTAAAGGGTAACACTTTACAATAAGGTTCATTAGTTAACATTAATGTATTAACTAACATGAACGAACAATGAGCGATACATTTGTTACTGTATTAGTTCATCTTTGTTAACGTTAGTTAACCCTCCACCGCTCACATTATTATGATAGAAATATAGATAAAATTTTTTGACTCTTTTTCTTTTCTTAGAATGGCTTAACTTGAAGTGCTGTAAAAAGAAAAATTGAATTTATTTTTATTTTACTTTATGATATGTTGCCATACGGCAACAACATACAATAGTGGACATTTTTAGAAAAAAAAAAAAAAGCCATTTAAACTTGATTTATTTCCATAATACAAATGCATTGGCAGTATGGCAAGTCATATTAACTTTTATTCATTTCCAGGATACTAATTCTTAATATCAACAATTCAATTTTTACTAGTTAAAATGATAGTTATTGATATCAGGAAATAGATTTCTACTATAACAATGGCAATTTTTGATATCAGAAATTACATTTCCACTAGTAACAATGCTAATCCTTGATTTCAACTAGTAAAAACCTTAATTTTTTTATATCAAGAATTCAATTGTCACTAGTTGAAATGTCTATACTTGATATCAACAATTGAATTGCTTTTAATAAAAATACAGCTGTTCATTGTTTGTACATGTTAGTTCACAGTACATTAACTAATGTTAACAAATACAACTTTTGATTTTAATAATGTATTAGTAAATGTTATAATTAAATAAGCTCCAAAATGGCAAATAAAGAACCATGAAAGTAGAAGCACATGTCAACGAGACTTTGCATGATGGACAGATTGAAAAGGTTTCCCTGTTTTTCCCCCCAAATGAAACATTGTGGAATAAATCCTCCCTTTTAGATTTAATAAGAGACTTTCTGATGAGAACTAATTTGAGTATTCGAATAACGACACTAACATTGCAACATTGACACTAGCCGTGTTGCCTTTACAGATTTGCGCAAAACTTTTGTGATATTTTCTAAATGTCGATAAAAGACTATTGCTAAATTACGACGTTTCCATTAATTAACCGACGTTATACGACTGAAACGTAATTTTTTCCTCTCGTGATAAGTCATTCCAACAATCCTGGCATCAGATGTTGGTAGGTTTGCATATATCGCAGCCACCGCACTAGCCATTATTGTTAATGGAAGGAGACGTAGGCGTGTTCTACAAGCTTTAATGGCAAGAAAAGCCCCTTATACTGGGGAGCGGCCACTTATGAGGTGTTTCTGAGTGTTTCTCCATCATATCTGCTTCGAGGTCTTGATTGTGGCATTTCTTAGTGGTTTAGAATCTAGTATTGCCATAATTCTTTTGTCTTTTATGAGTTACAGAGACATCAGAGCCAGCAGCAAACGTCAGAAGGACTAGCCGAGGAAAGGCAGATCCAGGCGGGGTACATGAGCGCTGAGCGCCCGGTGATCGACTGGATCTCACAAAACGAAAAAAAAAAAAAACCATCAAATTTTCAAATAGGTGCTATCTTTATAAATAAACCACAGATTTGAGCTTTAAGCAACTGCATTATCGCCTGAAAAACTCTTAAAACTACATTTCGTGACACAATAACAGTATTTTTAAATTATGTGTTTTCTCCTCTGCTATTGACGCTTTCTGGTTGGTGCGAGATGCATTCTGGGATACCTGGCTGTCTCAAATTCACACAAGTCACCTCTCGATGCATCCTCGGGCGGATCAAGAACACATACGGGGATCTGAACTGTACTTTGCTAAATGTGAACTTTGAATTGGAACAGTCCCAAGTCCACAAGAACACAAGTACAGACAAGAACACATATTGAGAAACGGCTTGTGACAAGAACACAGGAAACAGAAGACGACTGAAAATACTCAAAATTAACATCTTTAAACAGAAACAGAGAGAATCCGTGACATTAACAAATCTTTGTTTTCTTTACTAATTTTGATTATATGTCATTAATTACTCAATGAAAATATCCCCCTCCCCTATTGCTCTCAATCACTGAGGCACTTTCAATAAAGAATTTAATAGTAATGTGAATAGATATATGCATTGTTAATTCTGTTTTCACATGTTTTAGAGAATTTCGAGTAAATACTGTAATAAAAATAAGTGTACACTTAGATATGAGTCGTTCAATGAACAGTCATTGAAAAGTCCATGATGGTTTACCACTAAATAACAACATAAATGGTCTGAAATGAAATGTTCAATAAAAAATAAACAAAACATGCTTACTCTAACCACGCTGAAGTCAAGTTTGGTCTCTTGAGCACACTGTAGGATGAGCTGGAAGCAGCTCTTGCTCTGATTGGTCATGCCGTTCTCATAGTAGCGTTCCAGGATCCGCTGTTGCTCGGCAGTAAACACCGACCGCAAGTTCATCTGTAAGACGAAAGGAAGTTATGATAATAAAAATGACAAAACACGACTGCACAGTACGGGCAATAAGACAACAGTATAAAGAACACCCTATGCAATAAGAAAAGCCACATTACATATACAGTCACAAATGTAGTGTCACAATTGATTTTATTTTATTTTAAATTAATGTTCTGGATTGAATGTAGGTGAAAGCATTAGAATCACGTCGAATGTTTTGTGGTTATACTTTTGAAAGAGTGTCTGGGTTTCCATCCAACTCTTTTATGTATTTTTTAATGTTTCACCCACTGCTGTGTATGGGGAAATCATTATGTGAGCTATTTCACTCATTCTCCACAATCTCCGGGGCGGTATTTCATTACACTATTTATAACTGCTTCAGTATGGCAAATAACCAAAGCAAGGAGGTCATGACACACAACTGAGACATGCTTCATAACATTTCTTGATGGAAACATGGAAAGTTTTGCATTCTCTTTATTTAAATATTCATTTTAAAAATGTGAAACAGATGAGTCAAATTTTTATTTGCTGGTTACACATTAAATGCCATTGATAGAGCTTAATATGTTGAACCCTGAACAATATTTAAGTGTGTAGTTGTGCAACTTATGGTTAAACAGTTATGTATGTCCCTCTTTTATTATAAAATAAAAACAAATCTCTCAATGTAAGAGTAATAAACCCATTGCATTGGTTAGGTCTCTTGTATTGCACTCCACAGCACAATGTATGTGAATCCCCTTAGAGCACGTCTCTAATGAACATGCACTTGTATAGATACTCACAGTGTGAATGCTCCTCTTTTCCAGCCATTTTTCCATCCCTCTGATGGATGTTCAGTGAGACCCCGGGAATCAGGTTGAGCTACTATGAATCTCAACATACAGCAGAGACACACTGTCGTGTGCACATCTATTCACACCAGCATTCGGGCATCGCAACACTTCTAACTGCTCTTACGAGGTGTCTCAGCTGAGGACGCTGTATTTGGGAGGGTGTTATAACACACACGCTCCTGCACTCTCCAGGTCTGAACCCCTCAGATCTGAAAAAGACCATATGGAAAGGTTGTTCTTCAAAACAGTCATTATTGATATAAAAACCCTTTAAATAATGACACGTCTTTAACTACTGGGTACTAACATTTAAATTAATCAGTAGATACAATGCACATATTGTGTACATTTTACATAGATTTAAAAAAAGGTTACACTTTATTTTAAGGTGTCGTTGTTACAGTGTAATTATATATTTAAGTAATAATATATTATATATTTGAGTAATATTAATTAACAACGTGTACTTACTATAAGGTTAGGGTAGGATTAGGTTTTGGTTAAGGGGTTAGTTGCATGTAATTATGCATAATTTACTGTTATTACTATGGTAAGTACATCATGTAACATATGTAACAAGGACACTGTAAAATAAAGGGTTACTTTAAAGGGCCCATTTTATGGATTTTTGAAAATGACCTTTCATGTAGTGTGTAACAGAGTGAATGAAAACATCCTGCAAAGTTTTAAATCTGAAAGTGCACCGTATATAAAGTTTTTGTCTTTCAAAAGTAAGAGTCGACTCTTACAAACGAGCCATAAGCCGTTTCGTTGTGACGTCAAGATGAAACATTAGCATATTGTCCACTCGCGCAGAGACCAGGGAAAACTTGAACCCTGATTGATTCCTGTGGATACTGGAGAGCATCATGTCCAGAAGACGCTGTGCTCTATAATGTGACGGTAAAGCCAGTTCTTTCACTGCCCGAGGACGAGCATGTGAAGAATCAGTAGTTAAAGTTCATCTTTACCACAATATCACAGCAGATTAATCCTAAACTTTTGCTGTGTTACCTTTATTTTACTGACGACTGCTTCTCAAATCTCGGAGTTCAATGCAGGATTCGCAAACCGCTTGCTCTTGAAAGATGGTGTTCAAAATACTTAGTTTTGATTTTTATATTGTGTAGGTCTCCTGCTAACTGGCTAACTCACATTATTACTGTCTTACTGAAATACTTCTGCTAATCAGTTGTGGGCCACTATTACTGTCACAGTCCTCTCCAGAGTTATCCCGTCCAGAGTTATCCCGTCCAGAGTTATACTGCCTGTTTGTACCTGCCTGAAGTTTTATTTGTTAGTAAAAGTATTTGCATTGGAGCTCTTGCCTTTTGTCTTCTTCTGCCTGCACCACCCGTGACAGAACGACCGACCACAATATGGACTTGGCTGGCCGTGACCTGACGGAATACCTCATCAGGATCCTGATGGAGAGAAGTATCCGCATCACCATCACCCCAGTGATGGCTCCAGCCATCTTCGCCACGCCATCCATCCACATGCATGATCCTGCGCCAGAGCCCGCTGATCCTGCGCCAGAGCCCGCTGATCCTGCGCCAGAGCCCGCTGATCCTGCACCAGAGACGATTCACGTCCAGCCTGCCCAGCCAGAGATGATTCACGTCCAGCCTGAGACGATTCACGTCATGCCTGCCCAGCCTGAGACAGATCCGTCCTGCATCAAGCCTTCGCCGCTGGTCCCGTCCAGCCCTGAGCTTCCTTCGCCGCTGGTCCCGTCCAGCCCTGAGCTTCCTTCGCCGCTGGTCCCGTCCAGCCCTGAGCTTCCTTCGCCGCTGGTCCCGTCCAGCCCTGAGCTTCCTTCGCCGCTGGTCCCGTCCAGCCCTGAGCTTCCTTCGCCGCTGGTCCCGTCCAGCCCTGAGCTTCCTTCGCCGCTGGTCCCGTCCAGCCCTGAGCTTCCTTCGCCGCTGGTTCCGCCGCCGCTGGTTCCGCCCAGCTCAAAGCCCACTTCACCGCTGGTTCCGCCCAGCTCAAAACCTTCGCCACTGGTCCTGTCCAGCAGAGAGCCCTCACCGCTTGCCCAGCCAGAGACTGCTAACGTCCCGTCTGCCCAGCCAGAGACTGTTAACGTCCCGTCTGCCCAACCAGAGACTGTTAACGTTCCGTCTGCAAAGCCTGTCACAGAGCCTGTCCCTCATCGAGTCACGCTCCCCAAGAATTTTTTTGGGGGGGCCATAGGTCTCCGCCATGGCCGCCCGAAGGGTCCGCACCACCATGGCCGCCCGAAGGGTCCGCAACGCCATGGCCGCCCGAAGGGTCCGCACCGCCATGGCCGCCCGAAGGGTCCGCACCACCATGGCCGCCCGAAGGGTCCTCACCACCATGGCCGCCCGAAGGGTCTCCACCGCCCTGGATGCCCGAGGGTCCGACAGCTCCACCCTGGACGCCCGAGGGTTCGTCTGCTCAGCCCTGGCCACGCCCACGTCCTGCTCCGCCCTGGCCACGCCCACGTACTGGCCGCCTGGTCCATCCTGGAGTCCATCCTCCTGCACCCGGTCCGCCTTCCCGTTACGGACTCCAGGATGCCCACCCTCCCACCCCTGTTCTAAGGCGTGAGGTCACGCCTACCGGGAGGGGGGAGTAATGTCACAGTCCTCGTCTGCACCTGTCTGTCCTTGTCTGCACTACACTTCCCAGAATCCTTCTTGTCTCCACACCTGTACTCACTCCCTCAATCATCCACCTGTTCATCGTCTTAATCATCTGTGTCACCTGTCTTCACCTCGTTAGTGTTCATTTGGACTTGTATTTAGTTTGCCTGTGTTCAGTCTGTCTTGGTCGGTTCTTGTAAATGCTTAGGTGTTGTTGTGAGTGTTCTGCCTGTCTTCTTGCCTGTAGCTGTTTCCTGTTTTGTTCATAAGTAAACCGTTTATATTGGAGCCTTTTGCCTCAGCCTGTTTTCATTCACACCACACCGTGACAATTACCTAAAACTGTGTCTATTAATGCAGATTGTCTGTCGTTCTCACTACTTTGTTTTCGACGTGCGCGCTATACATGGTAGACCAATCACAACAGACTGAGCTGTCTGGCCAATCAGAGCAGAGTAGCTCGCGGAAAGGAGGGATTCAGAGAGATTGATTAATCTGATGAGTCGTTTGAGAATCATTGAAATGTACTAATGTATATTATGAGAAAATTAAACCTTTGATGCGTGTAAACCTGTTGTAGGAGACTCCAAAACTACATTAGGAAACTTTAAAATAGCATAATAGGGTCACTTTAAAAAAATAAAATAAAAACTGAAGTATTGAAATACCTTAATTACAGCTGTAATTAATTTCTGTAATTACATCTATAATTACACTGTTGAAGTTCCCTTACTCATTAACCCTTAAACCTGCCCATACCACCACAAACCTGTCCTAACCTTACCTGTTTCCCACCTCAATAGCAGCAAGTGTTTTGCAATACAACAACACAGTAAGTACCTTAGATTATTTATTTTTTAAATTTAGGACAAATAAAGTGGGACCTAAAATATTGTTTACAATTTCAGTCCAACCACATTACCTGAGAAAGTTCTTCATCTGCTTATTTAATAAAAAGCATAAAATCACTGATTCATGGTTATCATAGTTCATGCCAAATCATAGTTACTATTGCGATAATAAAATGTTAGTCCTATTATTCACATAATGACAGAAATATCGGGTTGCACTTTATTTTAAGGTGTCTTTGTTACACTGTTATTATTTAAGTACTGAGTGATACATGTAGAATAAGTAACTACATGTACTTACTATAAGGTTAGGATAAGGGTTTAGTTTGGTTTAGGGTTAGTTGCATGTAATTACACATAATTTGTAGTTATTAGTAACTACGTGTAACATATCAATGTAACAATGACAGCGTAAAAATAAAGTGTTACCAAAGATTGTTAGACTGTGTGAAAGAGGCGTGCCTTTCATCACAACGTGAATGTAGTGAAATCTAAATTTCGTCCAAGATAATATATTACCGTTCCCTATAATAAATTGAAACAAGTTAAAACTGCGTTAATACAAATGCTGTGTGTCTCAGCGTAATCGCGTAACCATGAGATGTGTTTGTTGTGATGAGTGGCGGTGCTGATGCGGTTTAGCTGCAGTGCTAAAGTCTCCATCCCGCGCCATTACAAACACACTCAATAACATCTAACGTTAGCGTGTCACTGCTGCTCGGACAGCTCATGGTAAACAAACAGTTGATCCGATGTATCATGTGAATATCTGGAATGCTCAGAAAAATGTATGGTAACGTTAATCGCCGACGTTTCATTTGTGCGTTTTAAATAATATCACGTAATACATTTGCGCTCGTGCATGAAATCATAATAATCTCAAACAGAGCTAAAATGTGCATACGACCACCCTTATCTCGGAGATAAAACGCTGGGGGGTTGGGGTATCAAATTAAATGAAATCCGAAACTAAACTGAAGTAAAGTGGTTAAAAAAAAGGGGGGAAAAGGATAGAGACAAATTCCTGACGCGCGCTAGTGCGCGAGAGAGGCCCAGGAGGCCACGCGCGAGCCAAATCCACCACGCGAAACTTTTATTATTATTATTATAATTTTGCATTGCTCGAAAAGCGATGCTGGTATAAATGTATGGCACGGGCTATTTGGAATGAGACCCGTGCTGTCACCACAACCTTACAATATTCCTTGGCGTGTTAAAAGAAGATACCTTTTGTTGAGAAATCAACGGGCCCCCTCGAATTCAGCAGATTTCCTTACGAATCCCCTGGCTAGACAATGAAATCAAAACGTCCGATCATCAATTCTAATCATGATCGTGACGTCGGAGATGACACGAGCCAATGGAGATGCAGAATCATCGTTCTGACACAAACAAACCCCGCCCACCACTGTTAGGTGAGGGTGGAGGTTTCGAAAGAAAGACCACTGATGCTACTGGTGATTACAAGTTACTGGGAATACTGGGCACAAATACATATTATTATACCAGGCTATAGATTCTATAAGGAAAAAAATACCATAACATCATTTTTGATAGTTTTGATAACATAACCATCATAAATATAAGTAATAAAGCAGGCTAATAAAATAATACCTAAGAAATTTTAAGAGGCAAGGCAAGGAAATTGTATTAATACAGCACATTTCATACACAATGGTAATATAAAGTGCTTTACATAAAAAAAAAAAAAAAATAACCATAAAATAATCACAACAGATGCACAATAAAGTATAAATATAATGCATACTAAATTAAAATAAAAGCAGAGAATAAAAATGATTAAAAGTACACTTCACCGGCTTATAGTGTCTCTTCACCCCAAACGGAGTGTGAAAAAAAAGTATTTAATGTAACATTTCCTCTATTTCAAATGGGACAAGTCCTGATAAGACATAGGCTATTTAAGCCCTCTGACATGTCTATATCTGTTTTAATGTAAATGATCCACATTTTAGTAAATAAACACTTTTAGTTGATTACTAAGCTAAACAAATGAAAGATATACTAATCTAAATATGGATTCATATTTTATCTCTCTAACTATTTTTCAAGACTCTCTCTTTCACTCAGGTTTGCAGGGTCTTTGCATTGTTTCTTTGAGTGTTTTCAGTTCACTTTGCTTCCGATATGGTTTTCCTCGTTAGCAAGGTGACATTGATACAATGAGTTTTGATCCAAACCATCATTTTGGTCAAGTTGGACATTTCAGTGTTTTAAGAAGGTTGGATCAGCATTGACATTTTGACGAAAGCCGACACATGTGTGGAGACATGACATTGAACTATTAACAGTGATTTGTGTAACACAGAATACTGTTCCTTCATTAATGAATAACTACAGGAACAAATGAGTAACGCACTATATTAACATTCTTCAAACTAGGGTGCATCATACCTAATTATTTCTCTGTTCTTTTGTTTTGCGTGCTTGTTATTTGCGTTTGATTTGTACTGCTATGACTGCAATGAGATGCATTCATTAAAAAAAGTAGTGTTTGAATAAAGCATCCATTTTACATTCTTAAAAATGCATCTTGCTTTAGGAATGTTTATTAGGAATTTCCTGATTAAAGTTCTAACGACATTTAACAGATTTTTTTGAAGTGCAAATGACTTGAACGTGAGCTTGCAGAGCACCTTGCCTTCTTTCCTTTAGTGAAGGCAGATGAGGATGGACAATTATATAAAGAGAAGCACCCTCCTGATAATGCTGACATTGATCATACATTGAGTTGTAGTCAATAGGATCATCACCTGACCTGGGATTTGATACTATCCTGCTTTATCTCCTTCTCCCTGATCACTGCTTCATCAGGTAATCATTCATATTCCTGCATCACTATTTCATTTGAGGAATGTAACTGATCTCCATTCAGTTTAGCTTGTTCCCACCAAAACACACACACACACAAAAACTACATCTTGTGTTAATGAGAAAGTGACTGACAAGGCTATTTTGTGATATTTAAAGAGATTATATGGATAGCTCACCCCAAAATGAATATTCTGTCAGTAATTACTCTCCCTCATGTTGTTCCAACCCCGTAAGACTTTCGTTCATCTTCGGAACACAAATTAAGATATTTTTGATTAAATCTGAGAGCTGGATCACTCCTCCATAGGCTTCTTAAGGGATCGAAACTGGCCGGCCCAGAAAAGTTAAAGACATCGTTCAAATAGTCCAAGTGACTACAGTGGCTCAATCTTAAGTTTATCAAGCGATGAGAATACTTTTTGTGCGCAAAAAACAAACAAAACTAATATTCATTTCCTTCTCTGTGGGCCGTGAGATTTCACGTATAGTGAAACTGCGCAAAGCTTCTAGGTTGTAGCCTACTGAACTCACGATACGATATTATTGCGGTACTCCATCAAAATGGTAAATTAGGTATTACATTGGGTGTGTAAAAGAATAGGCTTGGACTAGGTGCTGGAAACCCAATGCACAGGACAATAGTGACACCAGAATAAAAAATATTCATGATTCTGAACCTGAAAACAGAATCATTTTAGACGAATATGCTTGCACTCTGTCACTGACTAGATATATTTAAAATAATGTTGGACCCTTTTACTGGTAACATCAGACACTTGGCATTAACAGGACCCTACAAATGTTCCCCCATTGCATTATTCTACATTATATTCAACATTATATATAGTAGTTTAATGTAGTTCTGACACTAAAACTCTGTAAACTTGATTTTTTCACGCACAGTAATTTTCATTTTGGGTGAAATATACCCAATACATATTGTCACTGTCCACGATACATATTGTTGCATTTATTTTTGTATTGCAATATATTGTGACATGATGTAACGTCACCAGCTGTAGTGCCCTTGAGAGCCACCAGAGTGCACTCCACATCAGACTATTGTCATTCCCTCACAAACTACATCTCCCATAACTCACTGCCCGGACTCTTCATCCATTATCACATTCACCTGTGTCTCATTATCTTGTTTAGCTCACCCCATATAAGCCTGGTTTTCTCATTCATTATCTGCAAAGTCTTGTTTAGTGTTACACTGCAATTCCGAGCATTCTCCCTGGTTTCATGTCTCTTGGTTTTTGGATTTCTTGCCTGTTCCGTGGATTACTCTTTTGCCCGTGTTCCCTGCGATACATTCTCCAGGTCACATGATCTGGCCAAAGCCGGTGCGTCTTCTCCAAACTTACATAGGCGGTATGTCAAGAGGGCAGCCCCGCTCGGAGCATTGATAGTGTCAAGAGCTGTAAATTGGCCTGAGGAATCATTTAAAATAACTCATATGCGTCAACTCTTTTGGCCAAAAGTTACACGGTGTGCCTTTAAGGTGGACGATAATGCAATTTTCCTCTAGAAACAAAGTTTGTTGCATTATTTTCATGTTATCACTGTGAAGCTGCTTTGATACAATCTGTATTGTAAAAAGCACTATATAAATAAAGGTGACTTGACTTGACATTATGTCGTTTTCGCTGATCTGTGTGCACGGGGATCGTTTTGATAACGTTGTCATCTGTACAAAGAAAAAACTTTCCCGTTTTAGCACATCGTTGTCGTGTAAACGTACCCTCAGTTTGGCTCGATCGTACAAATGCATATGGGTCAGTTCCCCACCAACTAATCCTTTTTGTGCTGAACTTTTTCCATTTACCATCTAAAAACTAACCGTCTAAAAACTTGCTTCAACTAAAGCAAACACTGATCAACATCATGGTGTCTTCAAATGAAACTAAATAAATCATCAACATCTAAACCTCTGTTAATTCTCAATAAGAACCTCTGTAGACGTCTGACAGAAATAAAGTCAGTCTGGGGTGCGTTTCCCAAAGCCAACTATGGTCGCAAGTTTCGTCGTTACCAATAGAGTTCAATGGAAATTGCGATCATAGTTGGATAACGATGCTTTCGGGAAACGCACTCCTGGTTAGTAATAAGTGAAGCTGGTAATGCTGTTTGTTGAGTGGATTAATCCTCCTCTGCTGAGATCTTGAGAGATTTAATGTCTTCTTTTATCTTCAGCTGATTTAATCTAAGGCTGTGGCTGAAGCCAGTTATAGTTCTTGTGTTTCTCTTTTTTCTGTTCTTGTTGTTCCTCTTTCCTTCAGTGATTCTGCTTGTTAACTGCAGGTGTTCATCACTAATGCTCAATCATCACTTAATTAATCACTTAATTTCTTGACTGCAATGTATATCTTCTTTTAGTGAACTCAACTGATATAATTTCAGAGTACTCATAACTATTAAAATTAAACGAATTAAGGTAACCTGTGTCCTCAAATGTTATGAGTTATCTTAACTTATTGGATTTGACTTTGAGTGTGACATTGTGAGCTAGCAAGCGCGAGTTCGTTTAAAATTAAGAAATATCCTTGTTTTAGTGGACTCGATTAAAATAAGTTCAGAGTATTCATAACTATTGTTTTTTTGTGTGTACTTTTCATCTTTACTTTTTAGGATGAATTTTCTAAACTCGTTAAATCATCTAAATCGACTACTTGTATGTTAGACCCTATACCGACTAAGCTATTGAAGGAGATGCTTCCAGAGGTCATTGATCCTCTTCTTAATATCATTAATTCATCTTTGTCATTAGGATACGTACCAAAAACGTTTACGCTGGCTATGATTAAACCGCTCGTTAAAAAATGCAACTTGATCCTACAGAATAAGTCAATTACAGGCCGATCTCGAATCTACCGTTTCTGTCAAAGATACTAGAAAAGGCAGTATCCTCACAACTGTGTTCCTTTTTAGAAAGAAATGATATCTGCGAGGATTTTCAGTCAGGATTTAGACCGTACCATAGTACTGAGACCGCTCTCATCAGTCACAAATTATTTGCTCTTATGATCCAATCGTGGTTGTATCTCTCTATTAGTGTTACTCGATCTTAGTGCTGCATTTGATACCAGTGACCACAACATTCTTTTAATTAAATAGACTGGAAAATTATGTTGGCATTAGTGGAATTGCATTAGCATGGTTTAAATCATACTTATCTGACCGTTATCAGTTTGTAGCAGTAAATGAAGAAATGTTCTATCGATCATAAGTTCAGTATGGCGTACCACAAGGCTCAGTACTAGGACCGTTGCTGTTCACTCTGTACATGCTACCCTTGGGAGATATCATTAGGAAGCATGGCATTAGTTTTCCCTGTTATGCTGATGATACTCAGCTCTATATTTCTTCACGCCCTGACGAAACTTACCAATCCACAAAATTAACGGAATGCATAGCTGATATAAAAAACTGGATGACTAATAATTTCCTACAACTTAATTCTGAAAAAACAGAGATTCTTATAACGGTTATCACGTAATAACCTAGAATACTGTCTAACACTTGATGGCTGCTCTGTCAAGTCTTCGTCGTCGGTTAGGAACCTGGGTGTGCTCTTTGATACCAATCTTTCATTTGAAAGTCACGTGTCTAGTATCTGTAAAACGGCATTTTTCCATCTTAAAAATATATCTAAATTACGTCATATGCTCTCAATTAAAAATGCAGAACAATTAGTTAATGCGTTCATGACATCAAGGCTAGATTATTGTAATGCTCTACTGGGTGGTTGCCCTGCACGCTTAATAAACAAACTACAGCTGGTCCAAAATGCAGCAGTTTGAGTTCTTACCAGAACCAGGAAGTATGACCATATTAGCCCGGTTCTGTCAACACTGCATTGGCTCCCTATTAAACATTGTATACATTTTTAAAGATTGCTGATTACTTACAAAGCACTAAATGGTTTAGCTCCCCAGAACTTGAGCAAGCTCTTAACGCATTATAGTCCTTCACGTCTATTGCGATCTCAAAATTCCGGCCAGTTGGTAATACCTAGAATATCAAAATCGACTGCTGGCGGTAGATCCTTTTCCTATTTAGCACCAACACTTTGGAATAGTCTTCCTAACACTGTCTGGGAAGCAGACACACACTGTCAGTTCAAATCTAGACTAAAAACACATCGACAGATTATAAAAACTTATTTCTGGGTTTTTTAGCTTGTTTGCTCTACACCTTGTCACATAGAAGCTTTTAGACATTGTTTTGTTTTTTGTTTTTGTTAAGTCAGAAATGACAAGGAGGCAGCTTCTCGCAATGCAAAGTCAATGGAGATGGTTGGATTGCCGCCGGGAAAGTAGCCTTGTCGCTGACAGTGCTGCTTAGGAGAGGAGGTTTACAAATTTCAAAACAAACCCTCATTCACACGATATCAGCAGCCAAACTATGTGTTCGAGTTTTGTGGACAACCCCCGAAGTGCAAGTAACACCCAGGCACGAAAACCATTTATGACCAGAAGGAATGTGAATGAGTTAACTCTCTCTCCATTTCCCTATTGAAACACATAATGTCCATAAAAATGACTCTTCCCCATTCATTCATAGAACACCTTCTATGAAGGAACACGCATATTTCCAGAACATTGCGTGTATGATTATTACTGTCTTATATAGTGTATTTTGTACAGTATACTGTTTTATGCATGATTTATGACAAAACCACTAGATAATGTAAAATTCATGCTTCCTATCAGATTAATGTTAATGTGACACCTTGCACACTGGGGTATATCACCTCCTTGTAGCATGTATTGTATGCTTGTTATATTAATCAGATCATAATGGGACACAAACTACCAACTTACTTCTATCACACAAATGAGTCAGCTTCCAAACAATGAATTTTTCCCGCTGGAAAATTGCACCTTTCTCATTGGTCAAGCCAAGCTCGTGACCGGCCTCCTCTTCCTTCTCCTGGTTGCTGTGTGAGTGGGACCAGAAACCATGCCCAACCACAAGTTCGCGGGCCGGCAGGCCTCAACACATCAAGCCTCCTATTGGTCAATCTCAAAGAAGTGACAGAACCCGTTGCGGAGGACCGAAAATAATTAAACATGCAAGTCTTTCTGTCATGACATCGTGAAGCTTCACAGACGTGGCATCAGTTGTCATCCACTATGACATACTATACAAGATAAAACGATGGATTCTTCTGTTCTGACGCCCATTGTCGTTTACGAATCACCACGACACCCTACGTCAAACAGATTGTGCTAAAATCAGGCTGATATCATGTAGTCTGAACCCAGAATAGGGTCTGCATCTCGCAGTGCCTCGTATTGCTGTTGCCTTTCTGCTGCTGACAGCATCATCCATTTTTCAATTTCCTTAACCTGGAATGATATACAACCAATGTATAATTTTCAGTAAAATTACCAAGATTCCATAATAAATGTAAAATAATGCAAGATGCTTAAATGTGATGGGAATATTTGACTCTGTTACTCATTGTCAACTCTGTTATTGTTAAATGTTTTAAACCACTAACAGAGTTGATGATAACAGAGTTGACATTTTACACCATTTTGTGCTTTAGCTTAAGATGCTAACATCCAACCAGATACCAAATTGCATGTCTAAAAACTGAATTTTATGTGCTTTCATCATATTGTAACAATCGGCCTAATCGGTAGAGTTACATATGGTGGCCCGTACGGGGACATTTAAAGATTTTTAAAAGCTGTGTTGAGAAGAGTGTTTTAAAATGACGACTAATCAAGATAATGCAGCTTCTTTTAATACATCTGCTGGTTTTAATGATGAACGGTTCTTACAACAATGTGAGTGTAAAAAGCTACGTGCTGAGGTGGTTGCTCTTTAAAACATTGTTTTAAAACTGGAGAAGGATTTTAAAGACTCTGTTGAAAGTTCTCTTAACCGTGAAGTGTATTTTTGAGAGGCTGTGGACTTTAAAATGGAGGAATCCTTTAAGGATGCCGTGGCGACACTGGAGAGAGATGTCAGCGAGTGTTTAAAGAGGAGGGACAAGAAGTTGGCAAAATAGTTGGAACAAATAAAGACTTCAGAAACCACCATCTCCCCTCCCACTGCAACGAACAGCCCAGTGACTTCCACGTCGACCCCTGGCTTTCCTCCAATTAGCATTCCCACCGCCTCAAACACTTCACAAACCAACAACAGAGCGGCCGACGGAAAATTCTGCGCCCTCACTCCAACGGGGCCAGAATTGGACACTATCTTCACCAGCCTACCCTTCTCCAGAGAGCAGCTCACCAGTGCCCAGGGTGATGACGACATGCTCCAGGGACTTACCATCTCTCCCACCACTCAACCAACCAACCGGGTCGAACTGCGGGAACACCAGGGCTTGATGTATCGGCGGATCCAGAAGGAGGCGACAACATGAAGATCCAGCTCCTCGTTCCCAAGTTCCTGATCCAGCAGACGTTACAGCACTTCCATTGGAGGACAGTAGAGAGACATCATGGGCGGCTGAAGACCTTCCTGCTGTTTGGAGACCAAGGAGTGTGCTGTCTTCAACCCTGGCAAGAAACCACCTCACCATCAACATCATCACCGTTCATCATCACCGAAAGACACCCTTAAGCCGGATAGGAGGAAATACCAGGGTAAGTGGCGTGCCAGGAAAGCTGGGTACGTTAGGACCCTGGGAGGAATGGCGTCACCGACCCAAGGACATCCAGGCTGGTATTTGATTCCACTTCTCCCCAGTGTTCCCATAGATTCCTCCGGCAGACTAGTGCCTGTGTGGGAGGGCCTAGTTTTATCTAATTTATTACAAAGACATTTTAGGACACACATTCAAGAAGATACCCACTATATGGACAATGGCTGACAGTACCTTCAAGGGACTAGCACCTTCCCCGGGGCCCCTAGGCTGGGATCATTACAATATCACAATAACAGATTTGACAAATAATTAATCTACTATTGGTGTATCCTAAACATTTTGTCCAAATTAATGAGAGCAGAATAATGACATAACGACATACCTCTCAGTGCCTTGCAGAGTTTCCCGCCAGAGGAAGAGACATTACTTGGTACAAGTCACCTGCTTTTTCTATGAATGCTTTGGAGATTTTTATGTTGTTTTATAACAGAGGTAACAGATTTGACCAAAACGTAGGGACAGACACAAAATAAATTTTTTTTTTAAACTGAAATTACAAATGATACAGAAAATAGATATTCTAGGCAATTTAAAAGAGCAAGCACAAAAAGTTGAGAATTAGACTTAATTATTCCATTAGGCTATAATTCAAGTTGAATGCATGAATCAGATCAGGAAAGATGTTCAATAATAGGTAGTGGGTGTCATTTAGTTAATATTTTCATTAACAATGTCCCTAAATATACATAAAGCATTATTTTTAGTGATAGTGTAAAATAATTTGTGTTATTATTCAAAACAAAACGGTTTTTTTTAAATAACAGAAGGTTTATCTGGGTTTATCTAGGCTTGTTGAAGGTTAACAGAAGATACATATTATATTATTATACATGGATGAGGGGGATGAGGAGGGAGGGAGGGAGGAGGGAGGGGGGCTGGGTGGGGGCGGGGGGTTGGTCGGCTTGTATAATACTATAGAGTGCTTTTCGTCGCAAAGCCCATTAACAACACCCAATCTAAAAGGTAATAGAACTGTCCACAGAAAAATACTGAAAACGACAACAATGTCAAGCTCCGATAATAATAATGTGAAAGACATTCTCGGTATTTACAAGATAAACAGTGTGACTCTAGTCACGTGAATGCCACTTGTGCGCCGACGTCATCCGAGCGGAGTGTGTCAAGTCATCGCGAGACAGCAGCTGTTAGTCACGTGCTCGTCGTCACCATTCGCGAACTTGCAGGAGACACAAACATCGATGGGGAGTTTAATCAGGTATGTGATTATTTGTCAACATTACCCACATTAACAGCAAGCGTCTCTTCTATTTCGACTCTTCTGTCGTATTGAGCACAGCGCTAGTAGTGTAGAGTTGCCGACTTCAGCAGAGGAAAACAAAGAACAGTCTTCATTTCGTAATATGGTATTTAAGATCTGAGTAACGTTAAGTCATTAGCGGGAAGTGACAAACAAATACCCGATCTTGCAAAACCACAGCGCGTCTCTGCCCTCAGAATTCGTTTGGACATTGAAGACACAGAAAAATGCTCGATTGTCTTTGTATTGGACAAATGTTCAAAGCAAATAGCGTGTAGCATAAGCCATAGCATGTATTTCACAAATGAGGTTGTTAGAAACACATTTAAGGCAAATTAATTCAGGCACTCTGTCGTTGTCAAACGTTACTGTCTGGAACATGTGATGACGATGATGACGAAGATGATGATGTAGTAGTACTTTTCAGTCTGATTGACACCTGTGTGTGAACGAACCTGAGGGAAACGGACCATATAACGTACATCCACTAGAAATCGACTCAAATAGGGATGCAAAAGGTCTCAAAGTTCTTGGAAAATCTCGAGCATAATTTGTTTGCCGATCTCTTGGTGTTTATTTATTTATTTTTGTAAATGTACAGATTTTATTTCGTATCTAATACACAATAATTAATTTATTTATTAATACTTAAGTTTCCAAACGTACGTGCCATTAAGTTTCTAACTGTGTCTGGTGAAATTAATAATTCAAATAGAATTTTCAGTGCTATATTAAACATCAACCTACACACGAGGTTATGCAGTTTTTTAGATTATGTAGCCTAGAGATATTGCTCCATAAGATAACAATGGCAGGTTACTACAACTTAATTGTTTACCGTAGATTTGACACTGTCTTCTGGATGCACTTGGCCGAAAACCAAAAATGACTTAATTTTTTGTCTTTTCTTATTTTAAATTATTTTTTAATTGTATTATTATTATTAGACTTTTTTGATTAAATTCAATAATTTTACTGAATCTGAATTTAAAAACCGAAAATGCCATTTTGATCATCCTTAATTGTCACAGATGAACACAATGTTTCTGAATTTTGAAGCCTAAATGCAGATGCCAGAAGTGAAAAGCTAAAGGTAGGCTATAAACGAACACCACCACGCTCCCACGGATTCAACGTCACCATCACTAAACTTCTGACAACTCTTTCAGTCTTTATCTAAAAACATTTTCCCAGAACGTCTGAGTTAGAATAGTTTGTAAGAGCACAATTATGAGCATACCGATGCTGTAAAAGCGGGTTTACCTGTTCAGTGTGATGCTGCTTAATCTCCTCGACAGCCCCTGTAGTCCCATTTAGACACTTGCTAGCAGCCACCTTTTTTCAAGACACGTAACAGCTTAAAAAAATCACGAGTGGGGTAATACCGGTGTATTTAATGTCGTAGAATAAAACGTGAAAGTGTCTTGAGCTTGTGTTCACCATAGACCTTATTTCAGCTTTTTAACCAAAACCCCATTCAAAAAACCCACTGACTTCGGGACGATGGAACTGGAAGTGCTCAAATGCAACTCGTTTCCGCGTTTTGGTCTACAAAGTGATGTCATACTGCACAACTCTATATACAAGCGCAGCTCATGAAGGCTTGTATCATAAATGTTTAAAAAAGTTTTCACACATCAGGAGATCACAGTGGTTACATTATGAGGTAAAGAAAAAAAAATACAGTACACAAGGTCAGTATAAAGCAATCACACACAGACAGACATTTACATCGATAGTCTGGCGTTATAATTTATCTGCTTTTGGGGAACTGTGGAGTGGGTAAAACTGTTTTTAATGGCAGGCTAGCAGTTACCGTTGACTCGCGCTAGCCTAGCACCGGCGAACTATGCAACTGGAACGACTGGATGAAAATTTTTGAAAACTGTCTCCACTGATAAAGCTAACTTGGAAATGAGGCCCGATGTCCAAAATCCTGAATCACCCCTTTAACAAAAAAACTACCAGAATCTGCAGAAAATCAGATTTGGGTGGGAGATCAGATTTCATGTGCTCTTTTGCAGAGATATCGATTGAGTTAGTTATGTAGTTTCATCAGTTATGTAGAATAAAATGATTTACATCAGAACATTGTTGAATGAGAAGTCCTACAGTGATAAAGGTGACTGAGTACTGATGAAAACCTACAGAGTTTTAAATTAATGGAGTCCTGATTATTGTGGCACTCAGTCAGACAGAAGAGTGATGACGTGTGTGTTCTGGTCTCGTTGCAGGTTTTGATAATCTGCAGTTACAGTGGTTTACAGTGGTGAAGTGAAGTCCAGCGGGGAAATGTCCAGCACAGCCATGAAGAAGAAGGTGAGCTTAACCACTGTTATATAACACCGTGACTGTTGATGTGTTTCACTTCACTTTAAGATATAAAACATTTACCACACACACTATACAGCCATGAACAATGTGTGCGTCCGTTGTCGGACTGTCACTGTATCTATTAAGCTTTTCTTTTAAATGAATATCAATATAATGTATAATATAACTTAGCTTTAGAATTAATATGCAAAGCTTTTGAAGTTTCTAAGATAACATATTTTCTAAGCTTATTGAACTATATAGATTATAAACCGTAAATGCACTTGCATGGCTATATTCATATTTTCTTTCAGCTTTCAGTGCTGTTTTTTCTTGCTGCGTATACACTTTAAAAATATTTTTCATAATCTCTCGATCTTTAACTTAGAAAGGAAATGTCAGCTTTCTTTTTTTTTGACATCCATTAAAAAAAAAACATCTTATCCAGTGGCGGCGATTCACATAATCATAGGGTATAATCATAGGGTATGACATGATTCCTATGCCATACAACAATGACATTCTCAAGTAATCATATTATATCTAAACAAAATATGGACAAAAATCCACCATACCACCAGAGCCTACACCGTGTCCTAACCAGACGCGACGCAACATGTGAGAAAATTGATCTTTTCCATGCTAACTCTTTCCCTTTCTGTGTTTTTTTTTTTAAGTTGCCAGCCACAGCGTTGAATCATTTTCACAAAAGGTTCATGGCCCCCAGAATCTTTTGCTGTGTGAATATCTGAACATGCAATATATCAAATGAAAGAACAGACCCTCTGCTTTTAAACATTTTATTCCAGCTTCACTTAAATGTGGGCGAGTTTCATAAAAAAGCAACATTTTGAGCAAAAAGCAGAGAAAATCACTTTTTACAAACAGTTTCTTTTTCTGTGGTGTTTCGGTTGGAATAACATACAAAGTACTACAAGGATAATCTTAGGTGCAGATTATATGCTTTATTTTAAAGCTGCATTCCATAGCTTTTTTGGGTTAAAAATTATCCAAAATAAATTTGAGCAAATACATAACCAGCAAGTGTTCAACGCTATCTGCTTGCCTTAGCTCGATTCAAAACGGTAAGCTTGTAATAATGTTTTTAACTCCAGTGGTACTGGTGGATTTCAGCGGGAGATTCGAGCATGTCTTTACGTCATTACGTCACATCTGTACACACATCTGTACACACACATCTGAACACATAAAGGAGTCGTCTCGGCTAGTAGGCTATATTGCGTGTGAGGATGCAGGAGGTGGAGATTTATACCCTTTTCTCACAGCACTTGATATAATTAAACTTATCAATTTGATGGCGGATCCAGAAAGGTTCAAACGACAATCACCAGTGACAACTGGAGATTCACCCGTTGTAAAATGTAAGACTTCTGAGTGGCTACAGGAAAAAAAAGAGACTGCAACCGACCCATGCGAAAACAAGGATACATATCGGAAGGGCATTAAATGTAGTCACGCAATGCTGATGTTGATAACATTAACAATTTGAGAACAAAGTATATTTTGCACGGTTTGACGTGATCTGATAAGCGATTGTTAAATTTAATCAGCGTGATTTACTGCAATGCTTTTTCCCCCTTAGTTGTTCAGAACAAAAGTGGATGTTACTTGTTCAGATGACATTTTCCGGTGAAAATGATTATGTTGGTCATACTTTCAAAAAGTTGCATCTGTGATTCTGAATGCCAGTATCGACACCGGCGCGGCGACTGACAGACACACACTCTCCTCAAAACATTGTGTTCATCCGTGCTGTGCCGTGCCGAGGCACAACCCACGTAAAGTTGATAATTCCGCGAATAACTGCAATTGCAGATTCCGAACAGAGATGGCGACAAAGAGCTTTAATGTAAAACGAACCACATGTTTGAGAAGCACTGCCCTAATTTATAGATTCCAGCTCTCCCCTCATGAAATGACCCTCTCTCTTTTTTGTGTGCAGGTGCTGTTGATGGGTAAAAGTGGATCAGGAAAGACCAGTATGAGGTCAATTATATTTGCAAATTACATCGCCAGAGACACTCGCCGCCTTGGAGCCACAAGTATGACATTTACGAGATATAGTTCCCTAGAAAATGCGAATCCTGTCATGTTTGATTCAAACTCCTTTTGTTCCAAACCTGCATGACACCTCGAGACGCATCAGGTTTTACTTCAGCGACACCAGGCTCTTATGTGTTTTTTGTGATCAGAGCTTCAGGTTAGAAAATGCAAAAGTGCAAATGAGATTTCGGGCTGCAGAGGTGGAGAAATTTTCCCAAAACACATTAAAACATTTACTGGTCCTTTGCTATATATTTTGTTTTAAAAATTACTATTTTTAGGGCTGTTTTCTGCAGTGGTTATTGTTCTCAGTGGCTTAAAAAATCATTTGTGGTACTTCTTTTAATTTGTACTGTAGAGTTGCATAACATATTAAATAATTTCCCTTGTTTTACATTAATTAAAATGAGACCTGATGCATGATGTTAATGTCAACATATATTATGACACGTATGAACTACGATCCAGGCACAATATATATTTAAACAAATCAATATTGATCAGTGAAAGCTTAAAATCAGGTGTATTTTCTCATTTCAGTTGATGTGGAGCACTCTCATGTGCGGTTTCTGGGCAATCTGGTGCTGAACCTGTGGGACTGCGGTGGGTAAGTGTCACGAGCACCCCTGTGCGAAAGAGTTTTGTTGGATGGCTTTTGTGAAGATGATTTAATTTTCGCTTCATCTTTACATGTGAATTGCACAGGCAGGACACTTTCATGGAAAACTACTTCACGAGTCAAAGAGACAACATCTTTCGCAATGTAGAGGTGTTGATCTATGTGTTTGACGTGGAGAGCCGAGAGCTGGAGAAAGATATGCATTACTACCAGTCGTGTCTGGAAGCCATCCTGCAGAACTCGCCTGACGCAAAGATCTTCTGCCTGGTACACAAGATGGACCTGGTCCAGGAGGACCAGAGAGACCTGGTACGATATGAGCGGAAACTTCCTTTTTTGAGGACTTTTTTGTAATCCCTTGACTGTTAATCTCAAGAAACCTGCTTGCAAGAAGACGTCTGGGTCACATTGAATCCCAAAAATGGCCCCATTTTATATTAATTGTCTCTAACTACTAGTATGTACTAAGATTTTCTAATGTACAAAAGCATGTTCCCTCCCCTCAAATTCTCATCACTGAAATGCAAAGACAATCTCATTCTCATTACTGTAAGGAGTCTTGAGCAAGTCCATGTAGACTGTCTTCAGACTGGTAAAATACAATGAAATCCACATAAACAGTGTCAATTAATATCTGTTCATTTCTTTGTGATTATTTAGATTTTTAAAGAGCGTGAGGAGGACCTAAAAAGACTGTCTCGCCCACTAGCCTGCACCTGCTTCAGAACGTCCATTTGGGACGAGACGCTGTATAAAGTAAGACTGTGTGCATTTGAATAAGGAATAACAAATTGTATATATAAAAAAAAAATATATTGTATATAAAAAAGTATTGTAATTGCACTATTACACCACTTTAATTGTAATATATATCCAAAGTAAGTAATATCCAAAGTATTGTATCCAACAGATGAGGTTTGTGAAGATCAGAGTAGAAAGAAAGGCCCAAAAGAAGTAAGATATTTGCAGAATGCAAGGAGAGGAAAAAGAGAAGCATCAGCAGAAGAAACCCAGTGTCCTCTGAAACGACAAATTTTAGATGTTGTGCCTATGTAACAGGAAGGGACTAGGGAAAGTAGTACCTATTGTTATTTGTATCCAAGCAGGTCTTATTAGGTCACCATGGTCCTTGTAAGGCACACAGAATAAGCCATTGTGGTTTTAACACCTTAAAAGGGATAGTTCACCCAATAAAATGTAATTGTCATCCTTTACTCACCCTCAAGTTGTTACAAACCTGTAAGATCTTTTGAAGAATATGGGTAACCAAACTGTTGATGGGCCCCATTGACTTCATAGTAATGTTTCTTCCTGGTATGGAAGTCAATGGCTACTGTTAACTGTCTGGTTACTGACATTCTTTAAAATATCTTCTTTTGTGTTCAACAGAAGACATAAACTCATACAGGTTTGGAACAACTTGAGGGCGAGTAAGTGATTACAAAATGTTCATTTTTGGGACAACTTTCCCTTTAAGAGCATATTGCAGATCTTGCATTCTCTGCAGAGATGCATATTTCGATATGATTTGGTACATCAAGTAATTAATTCCAAAGGAAGACACAAAAGATCTTACATTTGAAAATAATCAAACATATCAAAATATATAGTAGAAATGAATAACATTAAATGGTACATGGCTATCAATGTATGGAATTCATAAAGAAACGATTAGTGATAAAAAGGAAAAAATGGATAAAAGACATTAAAAGAATACAGTTGAATACGTTTGAGTATGAAATAAGTCACCAATCCGACAGTAAGAAAGTTGAATATGTTGTCATGTGTGTTTGTGTCTGCAGGCGTGGTCCAGTATCGTGTATCAGCTCATTCCTAATGTACAGCAGCTTGAGTGTAACCTGCGCAACTTCGCTCAGATCATTGAGGCAGATGAAGTCTTACTTTTTGAAAGAGCTACTTTCCTGGTTTGTACCAAACTGAAACACAGTGCTTGCACACATTGCACACGATACTTGCATACCGGTATATTCAAATTTACGCTGCAAAATGTCGGCATGACCTCATGTTATGCTTTTATTGTCATTTTATGTTTGCAGTTTTACATGGTCAAATATAACTAAACTAAAAATTTAGTTTTATATGTATTTGTCAGCTCTATAGAACTAAATTGTAGGTCTGCAAAAACTAATTTATAATGAAAACAATCAACAGTGAGTTGAATTATTGCATGGTCATGCTTTTGCACGAAGCACACAACTCATTGTGGTGTGGGGATTTTGACTAGAATTCTGACTAGATTTTGACTTCACATAAAAACGATTCATTGCTCAGTTCTCTGGCTATTCAGAGGTTGTTTTAAGCTTAGTTCACACTACATGATTTTAAGCCCGATTTGCAAATCGTTGAGCTCGCCGACAGGTCAGGGTGTTATCGCGTGCAAATCGCGGGAGATTAGCGGGCGATGAACGCTCGCCAATCTGTTAGTATGAAAGAGCCAACAACGCATTAAAGACGCTCGCAGACACCTCACAGACGCGTCGCCGAGCCCAGAAAAATATCTAGCATGCTAGATATCCAGAGCTCTCGCACGACTCAAGCTCACGTGATGTCATGAGCTGCAGCCAATCAGAGCAAGGCATGTTCGCGTGTTGTGTTCTTCTTAGCTGGGTATTGGCGTCATTTCCGGTTCGTTTTATCGCGTGATTTTTCGTGACAAAACGTGGTTTGTAGACAAGATAGAATCGTTGGGTGACAGAGTTGTTGTCAACTCGTGTAGTGCGTTACCTCCTGTTGCGGATCAATCACGTTGTGTCGTGTGGTGTGAAGTAGCTCAACAACTTGAACACTCCTGATTTCACAGAGAGCAAGTCATGTAGTGTGAACCGCACAGTTCAGCCCGACGTTTTAAAATCATGTAGTGTGAACTAGGCTTTAATAAGTGTATCAAAAATGAATGACCAGGTCTGGCACCAATCACACTGAGCGCACGAAAGGTGAAAACTTTGAAAAACTGGACATAACCGCTTCAAAATAGTTATGGTGTTGCCAGATCCCTGCTGAAGTGAAGGGTCCATTCAAATTTCAGGGGAACTTGAATGGACAATAGGGCCCCGTGGACCATTGGTATCCAGAGTCGCTAACACGTGCCTTGTTCCACCTTTCCCCATGTTGCCAATGAGGGCTTGTTGCCTGCCAACAAAAGGATGGTTTGAGGACAGATTTTCAATGAATTGCTATAAGTGAAACACACAACCTTCTCTGTCAAACACTAACTTTTTATCCATAGTCACATCATCATTTAAAGGATTAGTTCACTTCAGAATTAAAATTTCCTGATCATTTACTCACCCCCACATCATCCAAGATGTCCATGTATTTCTTTCTTCAGTCGAAAAGAAATGAAGGTTTTTGAGGAAAACATTCCAGGGTTTTTCTCCATATAGTGACTTCAATGGGGTTCAACGGTTTGAAGTAGAGTCCTGCGCGGGACTGTTTTCTTCATCCCGCTCCCGCCCGCGCCCGCCGAATTTCTGACCATTACCGCCCGCTCCCGCAACGTATGTTACACTCCCGCCCGCTCCCGCAATATGTATGTCCACTCCCGCCCGCACCCGCAAAACTTGGAGAATTTATTCCCGCACAATAATAGAGATGCATTGACTTTGTGTCTTCTCCCGTCCCGCAGGAAAAAAAAGCGCGTATTTGTATTGCTATTATTAAAGAGATTCATGGGGTTGTTGGTTTCGTTTCCCTGGCCTGCATGTATTCTGACGCACTGATCAGGAAGATGAATAGTAAATGTCAGACTTGCCTTGCTCAGGTTTTGTGCTGTAAATACCTCGTTTAAGGTTCTTTTCCACATCATTGACATCTCCATCATGTCGTTAGGCAACCTCCCGATCCCGCAGGGTTTTTTTTTGTCCGCCCATTCCCGCCCGCAGCAAAGTTCAAACCGCCCGCTCCCGCGAGATTTGCGTTGGGTCCCGCGGGACCCGGCGGGACTCAATCCCAATGCAGCCCTCTAGTTTGAAGGTCCATATTGCAGTTTCAGTGCAGCTTCAAAGTCTCTACACGAGCCCAGCCGAGGATTAAGAGTCTTATCTAGACAAACCAATCGCTCATTTTCTAAAAATAAATAAATATACTTTTTAACCTCAAAAGCTTGTCTTGCACTAGCTGTGATGCGCCACATAATCACGTTGATGGTGTGACGTAGGCGGAAGTACGGACCTAGTGTTTACAAAGCGAATGTGCAAAGACTACCTTTTTTTTTTTTTTTTTTTTAGATAACGTTTGAGTTAAAGCAACGATGTCTGCCGATTTTGAAGTTGGAGGAGAAAATGAGATGGAGTTTTTCGCCCTATCCTACATTTTTGAACCGGAACACGTGTGACCTTTCAACGTGATTACGTAATGTGTGGCGCATTCGCAGCTAGAGCAAGATGAGCATTGGTGGTTAAAAAGTATATAAATGTTTATTTTACTTTAGAAAATGAGCGATGGTTTGGCTAGATAAGACTCGTATTCCTCGGCTGGGATCGTGTAGAGGCACTGAAACTGCAATTTGGACCTTCAAACCGTTGAACCCTATTGAAGTCTCTATATGGAGAAAAATCCTGGCCGAAGAAAGAAATACATGGACATCTTGGATGATGTGGGGGTCGAAAAATATCAGGAAATTTTAATTCTGAACTGAACTAATCCTTTAACACCAGATTATCTGAAAATATGCAATGCAAAAAGTGAGAGAGTCAGCGTTCTTCCACTCTCCGCCATCATGGTAAACTGGTGCCAGACATCCTAAACCGCCCAACACCAAATGCCTGAAACTGTAGTTCTTTGGATACTGAGCAGGTTTAATAGGCAGGAGCAGATTATTTCTGTGGTCAGTTTTCTGACACTTCTAGCTTAAATAACAATTGCTGTTTGACATGTATACAGATTCAGTCGAACTCTGCAAACAAAACACACAAAAAAGGGAAAACTGCAGTGAACATGAACAGAAGTTGTTGTGTAAAGGTGCTTTACAAACGAATGATTTGACATGTATACTTGTGTCTTGTCAGGTGATCTCTCATTATCAGTGTAAGGAACAGCGTGACGCTCACCGCTTTGAGAAGATCAGTAACATCATCAAGCAGTTCAAGCTGAGCTGCAGGTCAGTCAGACTCTGCTCATGTAGTTGTAAGTTCTGAACACGACGTCATGGTCATGTTGACATTTCTCTCTGTCCCACAGCAAGTTGGCGGCCTCTTTCCAAAGCATGGAAGTGCGAAACTCTAACTTTGCTGCCTTTATCGACGTGTTCACGTCCAACACCTACGTCATGGTGATCATGTCAGACCCGTCTATACGTAAGCATCAGCATGCAGGTTTTGCCACCTGATAATCTCACATTACAAGTCAAGTCACTTTCATTTATATTGCGCTTTTTTCAAAGCAGCTTTACAGTGATAATAGGAAATTAAAGTAACAGATTGTTTGGGCTTTACAGCAGCTCTAGAATAAAGTTATTGTCCCGCTAAAGTTAGTTTTGATTGATTCACTTCCGTTGCAAAGATCATTAGTTATTAACTTAGGTTAATAGGTTAGTTATTACACTCAACTGTGGTCTAACATGTTGGGGAAAGAAATCTTTCCTTTCTTTGATTTTTAGACTGAAGCAGTGCTTATTCGGGGATATCATGACCACAAATGACCAGCTCTTATATAATTCCAAGATTCTGTAATTTTTGGGTGACATTTTCATGACAATTAAGCCGTATTTCTTGACTAAAATATTTATTTTTGCCAAATATTTTCTAAATTACCGTACTCAGAGTGGGTAATACTAGTCACGTGTTCATTAAATAAATGTAATTGAGTAGTATGTTTCAATTGTAAGGGCATCCATCAGCAAGATTTCTGGATCTGCCTAGTTTCTGCATTTTGACGAAACTTGAAGCTTGATTATGGTGACTAGGTTCAGGTTTATTGATATAGCCCATTTCATACACAGAACGGTAACCCAATGTGCTTTACATAATAGCAATTACACAATAACATTAGCAATAAAAACATGTTAAATCACAGGGAACATAATACACAAAATTGAGAGCTTAAAATAAAAACATAATAGTTCACAGGGAACATAATTCATGACTTTATTCATGACTAGGACATTGATACTAGATTATTATAATTCTCTAATGGCTTAAAGTCATGAATGCATGAACTAACTTTTCTGCATCAGGGAAAGATGCATGTAGGTATTATAATAGGTGTAGGAATTTGGTTTTAAAAATGGGCAGTGAAACCATGAAACACATTTTTTATTTTAGATGTCAACACGTGTATGTGTTGGATATCACTGATAATTGTGCTGTATTACACTATTATGAATATGAAGGGTTAAGTGGTTAATTTTCCTTTTTTTTCTATTTAAAAGTTGAAGCCATGCCACAGAATGTGCATTTATAGTCTTAACATCTCAACCTTATTCATGCCAGGGTTCGATTGATTTTCATTCCATCTCATCACTGCCATGTTTGATGATACATTAGCATATTCCATTGTATCTTCAGCAATTTATTTACTTTTATTCAAATAATGGCATTGATAGAGTGGCTTGTCTGATCATTCACACAGTCTTTTATTTAAATAAACAGAAGACAAGAATGAAAGCTGATAAAAGTGGAGAAAGAATTGACTGAGAAGTAGAGTAAGCCTTTATTCTCCTGCTTCAAGTTTTTAAAAAATCACTTGACAAGTGACTGACAATAATGAAAAATTCAGAACAATAGGGGACATAAGATTGAACCTTGTGGCACTCCATGCTTAACTTGTGTTGGATTTGACAGTTCCTCATTTACACACAGGTTTAGCAGCTTTCAGAACCTGCATGCAATTAGAAACTGTCCTTCCTTGCATTTCAAAACACCTCCAAATCGTTCTTTCACCATCTGCACTCCAAATGAGGTTTGAGAAAAGCACATTGTGACCCAGAGTAAAGCCTCTCTCTCTCTCTCTCTCTCTCTCTCTCTCTTCCAGCTTCTGCTGCTACCCTCATCAACATCCGGAACGCCAGGAGACACTTTGAGAAGCTTGAGCGTGTGGACGGGCCCAAACACAGTCTGCACATGCGCATGCGCTAGACTGCCAGCATAGAGAGTTTGAGTGTCTGAACTTTTTTCTCGCAATTGTAAGTTTATATTTCACAATTCTGACTTCATATCACCCAAATCTGACTTTATAAGATGCAATTGCGAGTTTACATCTCTTACATTCTGACATCTTTGCAATTGTGAGTTATAAAGTCCAATTCTAAGGAAAAGACTGACAGTTTATACACTCACCTAAAGGATTATTAGGAACACCTGTTCAATTTCTCATTAATGCAATTATCTAATCAACCAATCACATGGCAGTTGCTTCAATGCATTTAGGGGTGTGGTCCTGGTCAAGACAATCTCCTGAAATCCTCAACTGAATGTCAGAATGGGAAAGAAAGGTGATTTAAGCAATTTTGAGCGTGGCATGGTTGTTGGTGCCAGACGGGCCGGTCTGAGTAATTCACAATCTGCTCAGTTACTGGGATTTTCACGCACAACCATTTCTAGGGTTTACAAAGAATGGTGTGAAAAGGGAAAAACATCCCGTATGCGGCAGTCCTGTGGGCGAAAATGCCTTGTTGATGCTAGAGGTCAGAGGAGAATGGGCCGACTGATTCAAGCTGAAAGAAGAGTAACTTTGACGGAAATAACCACTCGTTACAACCGAGGTATGCAGCAAAGCATTTGTGAAGCCACAACACGCACAACCTTGAGGCGTATGGGCTACAACAGCATAAGACCCCACCGGGTACCACTCATCTCCACTACAAATAGGAAAAAGAGGCTACAATTTGCAAGAGCTCACCAAAATTGGACAGTTGAAGACTGGAAAAATGTTGCCTGGTCTGATGAGTCTCGATTTCTGTTGAGACATTCAGATGGTAGAGTCAGAATTTGGCGTAAACAGAATGAGAACATGGATCCATCATGCCTTGTTACCACTGTGCAGGCTGGTGGTGGTGGTGTAATGGTGTGGGGGATGTTTTCTTGGCACACTTTAGGCCCCTTAGTGCCAATTGGGCATCGTTTAAATGCCACGGCCTACCTGAGCATTGTTTCTGACCATGTCCATCCCTTCATGGCCACCATGTACCCATGTAACCTGACTCCGCCAGATGGATTTGCTCCGCATATCCATCTGGAAACCTTCCGTTGAAGTAGTTTTGGTAAGGGGCGAAAATACTGGTTAGCTGATTGGCCTATGTTGGTGATAGACGGGCCAAATCAACCAATCAGATCAACGAAGCATATGACGTACTAACAGAGCGTATCTTTTCCTCTGAGAAAAGCCTCCAGAGCAGTGTTTTGCTCTTCTTTCAGTGAAGAAATACTCTGTAATTCCGATAAAACTCGCTCGATAGCCACGCTGATGCTAGTTTCATCCGCTGAAGCCGACATGTTCTTTAGACTGAACTGACGCGCTTCTCGTTGCGTCACACCTCAACCCGCCTCAAAGCCAACGCTGATTGGACGTTCGTTTGGTGAACTGCTCCCAAATTTTCTTTAACGGAAAGTATCCAGACTGATCTGCGAGTGAAACCTTGAAAGCTCGCGAGATCAGGATGGTCTCACGAGGCTAGTACCCATGCTCTGATGGCTACTTCCAGCAGGATAATGCACCATGTCACAAAGCTCGAATCATTTAAAATTGGTTTCTTGAACATGACAATGAGTTCACTGTACTAAAATGGCCCCCACAGTCACCAGGGGTCTCATTTATAAAGCGTGCGTACGCACAAAACGGGGCTGGAAACGTACGTACGCCAGTTTCCACGCAAAGGTTGTGATCTATAAAAAACAAACTTGACGGGAGAATGTGCGCACCTTAAAGCAAACTTTGAGCCGTGCGTACGCACGTTTTGGAGACGGAGCAGTTTGGTGACACCGATGGTGAGCTGGAGCTAAATGTCTTTTTGGTCACTTTTAGACCGACATTCTAAAGAAAATTATACATACAGTATACAGAAAGATAATACAAATATAATTTCACTCACCAAGCCTATCACATGAAGCAAACATCCATCCCTTTTTAAATGTCCATCCCTTTGTTCTTTAGTGAAACTGACGCAGCCTATCTAAAACCGTAAATCTTCATTATAATCATAAATACAGTGTTCTGTGAAATATGTTCACAATAACAGTTTAAATAAATAAAACTGTTTTACTTCTGATATAAACATTTAGATTAAATATGCCATTCTGATGAATGGAGTTAGACACTTAAATTACATGAAATCATTACTGAGAAGTTACAACATTTTTTTATATTCAATGAATAGAAATATTTGTTGTGGATGCAATGCTTTCAAACACTTTCCCTCTGTCATGCTGTGTTTTAATGTGTTAACTACAGAGATAATTGCTTATCATGATAATAGCAGATTGTCTGAGAAAACAGTTTTGTGCAAATAATGCACTACAAGGTCTATCTGTTTCCATTAAAAATATAAATCAATTAAACTTTGGCCAGTGGAAAAGATTGAGAAAAACTTTCTCTGAAATGTATTTTACACTATTTGATTTATTTATTCAAAAACAAGGCAAGGATATAGGCTACTAAATTATTTTTTATTAATGTAACTAATGTGACGGCACATCCGTATTTCATATTTTCCAAATGTCTTGTACCGTTAAACATATGTTATCACGTGGATGAATAATCATATGCAAATGATATGCAGATTAGGATATGCATAGTAAAACTAGGCGTTGTAAGCTCCATATATGGTTATTTCAGGGAGGAGACGCAAGTGTGCTCAATCTTCCGCTGACTGGGATTTATAAAGTGAATTCTGCGCAGGTTCTGGCGTACGCACGGTTTTATAAGTCAGAATATTTGTTTGCGTACGCCATTTTTGGCTTTCGGACGCACGTACACTTTTAGTAAGGATTCTACGCACAGTTTTATAAATGAGACCCCAGATCTCAACCCAATAGAGCATCTTTGGGATGTGGTGGAACGGGAGCTTCGTGCCCTGGATGTGCATCCCACAAATCTCCATCAACTACAAGATGCTATCCTATCAATATGGGCCAACATTTCTAAAGAATGCTTTCAGCACCTTGTTGAATAAATGCCACGTAGAATTAAGGCAGTTCTGAAGGCGAAAGGGGGTCAAACACAGTATTAGTATGGTGTTCCTAATAATCCTTTAGGTGAGTGTATATCACAATTCTGACTTTATAACACACAATTGCGACTTTATATCATGCAATTCTGAGATGTAAACTCGCAATTGTGAGAAAAAAGTCAGAATTGTGAGATAAAAAGTCGCGATTACCTTTTTTACTTTTTATTCTGTGGCGAAAACAAGCTTCCATTAAATTCTGTGCTTTTAAACTGTGATTAGAATGTTTGGAAACATGTCTCTACATTAACAGACAGGGTTAAAGATGCATATTATTTTGGTGGCTGCTGTTTTACGGACATGTTTATGTGTTTTCTTACGCACAGGGTGGTGGGTGAACTGCTGGGAATCATCCAGAAGAAGTCCTCCTGTTTTGCTGATTTCACATGCATCTAGTGTTTCTGCCAAGAAACTAATTCTCCTGATATTAAAAGGCAATAACATGCTTGTTTCCTCACTAATGTTGCAAAGGAACTTTAGTTCTTAATGAATGTTGTAATGCTCCCTTAATATATGATTTGTGCCATAAGGTGACTTGCGAGTTACTGACAGCCAGGAAAGCTAGATCATCAAGTCAGCATTCTTTGCCTGTGTCTTTTATATATCGTCCTATATTAAGCATTATTGGCTTGCTGTACTGTTTCCAAATGTCGAGCAGAAATCTGTGAGACAAAAAGAAAAACTACTTGATCTACAAAATCATCTATTCTAAATATTCTCAATAAATACAGATGGTTGTGTAATGAATGTCTTTTTCTGTACAACAAAACCATAGTAAGGTAATACATTAAAATGAATCTGTGTTTTGAGGTGCCCATTAGGGGTATAACAATATATCGCAATACAAAAATGCATCAATATGTATCGTGGATAGTGACAATATATATTGTGTATAGTTCACCCAAAATGAAAAATACTGTGAAAAAAATCAAGTTTACAGAGTTTTACTGTCAGTATTACATTAAACCGCTATATATATTGTATAATAATGCAGAATGCAGGTCCTGATAATGCCAAATGTTTTATGTTACCAGTGAACAGCACATTTTTTGTTAACCTATATTATGACTGATGTAAAACATATCGATTCCCTTTCCTAATATGTGGGCTGTACAATGTAGAACAATCATGATCACACATTTCATTTCAGTACAACAGGTAAAGCCTTTAAATATATTATATATATATATAAAAAAACTAACCAACTCCTTTTTCTGGAATGAGAATTTCTTTTTTTGAAATTCATGGACATATTAAGAAGTTAAAATGATCCAAAATTGTATTGTATGTATGTACAATATAATGCATTTCTTTTAATGACAAAGTTGATATAACAAGCAAAAACCTGCATCAAGGATTTCAACAAAGAAAATATTCCCAAACATATTAGTGGAGGACAGCCAGTCAATTATATTTGATTGTATGACTCATGAAAGGTGTTAGATAGGATGTGATTGCTAGTGTAACTTTACATTGTGAGACCAAGAAGCATTTAGAATCAAATGCAGCATCAAGTCTATCTATAATAAAACTACAAATGGAAAAACTCAACAAAAAAAAAAATCTACATTTTCAGACCATCAAAGTTGATGAAAACATGTCAGGAAAATAAAAAACAAACTTTACTAAAAATGTAAAGTGGTATTTTGATGAACTTTTAAGCCAGAAATCATTGCACATTTGTACGTCAAACATACAAAGGTAAACAATCAGAAGTGTATATTTTGTCAATGTAGCATTCTTAAGGGGCGTTCATACTACACAGTATACGTCACCATATTAGACCGTCAAAATATCAGTATCAACCAATGATGTCACACTCTTGGGCAGGGGTCGGCAACCTATGGCACACGTGGAGGGATAATCACTGGCACGTGACAATGGCTAAAAAGATCTATGTATTTCTTTTAAATAAAGTATATCGAAGTTGCATGTGGCCTTACAATTTGAGTTGATCATTCCTCATAATCACAGCCTGTTTTACTAAGTTAGGTAAATACTATTAAAGGCCCCCTGAAATCAAAATGTAAGTTTTTTATCTTTTAGTATGAATATGTTAACCTTAAGGTTATGAATAAGCTGGTGTGTTCCAAAACAATGACAACATTCGCATTTAGGAGATATAAGCATTCAAAAGTTAGTCTCTCACTTCCGCTAAAATGGATCATGGATTTTTATGACGTCACCGCGGACTACAGCTTCTCATCACATCTTCTGTCCAATCAAATGCTCTCTAGAATCTAAAGCTCCGCCCCCTATGCTATAAACACCACCTGGCCAAAGCGACTGTTGACACTTCACGGAGAAATACAGGTTGGAGTGTGTGTTCGGTTGCCCAAACGCTCGAGTTTTATTCCGTTTTCCAACTGTACGTTGGTTAAGAATGAAATGGCTAGAATTTATTCACAAATTTATTTCATGGTTCGGTCAAGTACGACTTGCAGTCTGTGAGGTAAACTAAACGCTACTGGCTGTTTGAAAAGGGGGAGGAGCCATTCAATATGTCCCGCCTTAGCTTCCTGTTTCAGTGGAAATTGCGTCAACGCATCATACAAAGCTGCGAATTTCAAGGTGCTTAAGTAGGCCTTTAAAGTATGAGATTTTAACCTGTGCAAGTGCGCAGATCCGACTGTCCATTGACCCGACCGGAGGTGTGATTATACCTCCGTTCAATTATGCCGACCGCTGCTCTACGGCTTCTGTTTTCATCCATACACACATCTTTTTCTCAGCTGCTTGTCCTCTGTAGAGTTGAGGGCTACTATTGTCAATAAATAATACATTTTAAATAACATACAATAAAATTAAAATGTTAACACATACTATCTACTCCACTTACATGCAACACAGTGAGCCTTTTTTGAGTCAAAAGCTGAATCCGAAATCGCCCCCTAAACCCTCATTCACTATTCCCTACGTTAGTCCACTAATACAGTTCACTTGAAGGAGTGAATGAAAACGAGTGAGCGAATTGGGACAGTCGTTGAGCGTACATCAGTTGTAGCCTACACTCGTTATTGCGGTGCATTGTGGGATTGATTGAGTGCACTCAATAACGTCCACTATTGTTTCGGACACCACTATAATTGGCTATAGGGGGCGATTTCGGATTCAGCCAAAGAGTCAATTTGTGATAGACCCTCTTTTGGTCAAATATCTTTGTACATGAATATGCAGGTCACCAAACTTTAGTACGGAAGCAAAAGACAAACTGATACACTCTCCAGTGTTTGCGTACAATCTGGGGCTTCATTTATGAAACGTGCGTATGCACAGATTTATAAAAACGGTCTTTGACGCAAGTGGTGCTCACTGAAGAGCCAGATGACGTCCAGCTCCACCTCTGTGGATCTAATGGGTGGAGGGATATAGTAATGGTAGGGTTAGGGTGTGGTTGGGCCTTCACCCATTACGCCCAAATTACACCCAGAAAGGGGGAGCTGGACTTCACGCTCCACCATGACTCTGCAGTGATCAGCCTCTCCTTTGATGTGGAAAAGTGTGTATCGCCACGTCAGGGTCTGAGCAGACGTACACACTTTTTTCACAGTTCTCCAGCATATATCTCCCCATGATCACTCCTCACATGTAGAGGGGCCACTAAACTAGGCGTTCTCAACTTGGCGCTTTCCTGCAGAGTTCAGCTTCAACCCTGATCAGGCCTAGTCCACACGTACACGGGTTTTTTTTATAAACGGAGGTTTTCCTCCTTTGTTTTAAAACAAAAAAATCGTGTCCACATGAAAACACGCTATGAAGCGCTCTATAACAGGTGCCGATATAACCATAACCGTAAAGCCATGTTGGCCAATCAGAAGCCTGGAAAAAAGGTTAAAATCTCCGGTTTCACCGTCTACACGACAACACTGCAACCGGAGTTTGTAAAAAATCTTCACCCTGGTAGGTGAAAAAAGTCCGGTTTCAATGACATGAAACTGCGTTTGCGTGTGGACGAAAGGCCAAACCGCATAGAAAAAGCTGCGGTTTTGAAAATAATGTGGACAGGGCCTCAAACTCACCAGCCAGTAGCTTCTAGTAATCCTGAAGACATTGATTAGCTTCTTCAGGTGAGTTTGATTCGAGTCGGAGCTAAACTCTGCAGGAAAGTGGACCAGTTGAGAAGCCTTGCACTAAAAGAGCAAACCAATGACGATATATTAATATGATTTTAGACACCCACATTCCATTAAAGGGTTAGTTCACCCAAAAATTTAAATTATGTCATTAATGACTCACCCTCATGTCGTCCCAAGCCCGTAAGACCTCCGTTCATCTTCGGAACACAGTTTAAGATATTTTAGATTTATTCCGAGAGCTTTCTGTCCCTCCATTGAAAATGTATGTACGGTATACTGTCCTTGTCCAGAAAGGAAATAAAGACATCATCAAAGTAGTCCATGTGACATCAGTGGGTTAGTTAGAATGTTTTGAAGCATCGAAAATACATTTTGGTCCAAAAATAACAAAAACTACGACTTTATTCAGCATTGTATTGTCTTCCGGTTCTGTTGTCAAGCCGCGTTCAGTGACGTAAGACGTAAGAATGCTGAATAAAATCGTAGTTTTTGTTATTTTTGGACCAAAATGTATTTTCGATGCTTCAAAACATTCTAACTAACCCACTGATGTCACATGGACTACTTTGATGATGTCTTTATTTCCTTTCTGGACAAGGACAGTATACCGTACATACATTTTCAATGGAGGGACAGAAAGCTCTCGGAATAAATCTAAAATATCTTAAACTGTGTTCCGAAGATGAACGGAGGTCTTACGGGCTTGGGACGACATGAGGGTGAGTCATTAATGACATAATTTTCATTTTTGGGTGAACTAACCCTTTAATAACTGATAGTTGGATGAAACAAGTCTAGAAAGCAGAGCAGCGTTCGCTCTTGTCTGTGGGAGGTTTACGCCCAACATTGAATTTAGGCTTGAACGAGTGCTCTGATATCAGCTGATTTATTTCATTCTGCTTGTAGGTTGGCAGTTTTTGAGTGAGCCACGGTCCTTTAGGTTGACTTACAGCTCCTTGAAAATATTTGATACACCCCCGACCTATTAAATACACAACCTCTGCGATGTTCAGCAAGACACAAACTCCAGACACCGCCAGCATGAAGACAGTAAAAATGGTCTTCTCTGTGGGACGGGACACAAAACAGTCCACTGTATTGGGGCAGGGGTAGGAGTCACACTTCACAAGACGAAACATCTTGACATCTGGATAGATGTAGTAAAAAATGTACAAGAAAACCACCTCGAAAATGATGCGGAAAATGATGCTTATCATGTAAGTCCACCACAGAGCACCGGCGATCTCGAACTTCTGTCTCTTTATGTTCTCGAAGTCCTTTTCACTTCCCCGGCCGGACATCTTGAGGATCTTTTTCTCAATGTGCCGGCGGTGTGCGACGTGCATGGCGACCAGCAGGGCCGGCGTGGAGACCAGGATGAGTTGCAGAGCCCAGAGGCGGATGTGAGAGATGGGGAAGAACTGGTCGTAGCACACGCTGTTGCAGCCGGGCTGCTGAGTGTTGCATGTAAACCCAGACTTCTCGTCTCCCCACACGCTCTCAGCCGCCACGACCAACACCATGATCCGGAAGATGAAGATGACCGACAGCCAGATGCGTCCGATGCCCGTCGAATGCCTGTTCACACCACTGATCACGGCATAAAACGAAGCCCAATTCATGGTTGGATTGAAGACTAAAGAGAAGAGAATCCAAAGCACAATGACTTTTACATGGTTCTCGACAGTTTCATCGAGTTCAAAACACTCCCCAACTCTGCATCGAGTCTTACTTACACTACACTAGCCAGGAAGTTGGAAGCTCAAATATAAGATCGTTTTGATTTGTTTTTGAACAGTACGTAATTTCCATTTCTCCATTTGTGGTGTTTCAATGCCTTTACACTCTTAAAAATAAAGGTTATTTATTGGCATCTATGGTTCCACGGAGAACCTTTCCATTGGACAAAAGGTTCTTTATAGTCAAAAAAGGTTCGGTAACACTTTACAATAAGGTTCATTAGTTAGCATGAACTAATAATGAACTGCACATATACAGCATTTATTAATCTTTGTTAGTGCCACTCCTTTTCCACATTTACTAAAACATTATTAAAATCTTGTTACCTTTAGTTAATGCACTGCGAACTAACATGAACAAACAATGAACAGCTGGATTTTTATTAACTAAAGTTAACAAAGATTAACAAATGTATTGCTCGTGGTTAGTTCACGTTAGTTAATACATTTTACAATAAGGTTGAATTAGTTAGTGTCAGTGTTACCAAATGTTCTTCACACTAAGAAAAAACCCTGTAAGATCTGATCCCTGAAAGGTTCTTTGGGGAACCAAAATGGTTCTACTATGACATTGCTGGAACAAAAGAACTCCTTTTGTACCTAAAATTTAAAAAATAGTCAAAATAAAAGGATTATTCCAACTTTTGACTGGTAGTACATATTCAGATATGTCATACACAACATGACTAATCACTTATAAACTGCCAATTACACAACATTAAAGATGAATGTAATCCTAAAAACCGATGCAACATAATGCTCAATCAAAAAGCTTTCCTTGCACATAATTCTGAATCGGAGCAATAATTTACCAGGTTCAGCCCGTGAGAAAGCAGCTTATGCTGTACACCAGGTCCAAACATGAAGAACAACACACTGTATTCTTGGCATTTGGATACTTGGTTGACAAAAATGTTCTGGTCACTTTGGAGCTGGTTAAGAGCTTAGGCGATGGTCTACCGCATGTCGTCACCTGACACAAGACAACCTGGGCAATAGCAAGAGCTTACAGTCGGACCCACACAATAACCTCCAAATGCAGGATATCCAAAGCAATTCATCCATTTAAACTACATAAAGAATCTAAATTCCCACTTGCAAAAAGGATTTCAATTTTATGATGTGGTCCAAAAATAACTGAACTGAGAACTGAGTATATTTGATAATGGTATAAAATTGATTTATAGAGCGGTTTACCTTCAGCTGAGATAATAAAGAGACATTTCCAGGAATCGTCTTTTGGCCTCGCTAATGGTCAGCATGCCCTTTGCAGACGCAATGCATTTACGCGCTACTAGCCACAACCCTGCACCATGGCTGTCATATGCACTTATATAACCCATTTATACACAATGCTGCTCTTTATGGAGGCTAACAAGACTCTTCAGAATTCAGATCAAATGCCTTGATTTCCACCCACCCAGGGCAGAAGAAAGAATCTGTGTGGACACAATGAGCAGCAACATTATTCATTGTGCCTGGCAGGGAGAGGAAATGAGGGGCGTTTCTGACCCGCTCTCACTTTATCAAACACAGCACAATTTATCAAAGAAGGTCGACTTGAGAAATAACACTGTCAGGCTTTTGTGTATATTTCTAGGTTCAATCTGTGGCGAAATCATTCATATTATGTAAATGACAGATTTCAGACAGAATTTTAACGAGAGAAAAAAATGACACAAGATCTGAAGATGGGACACCAGTAAAATAAATATTTGCGCATTTTTGCATTTTGTTGAATAGCTTTAACCCTGGCGTTTGAGTTCTGTCATCCCGTTCTGAAACTATTAAAGTATTTTACAATGATTGTACAAGTTGGCAATTTCAGAAGAAATGTGAATTGTATGAAAACATACAATTTTGAGAGAAAGCCAAGCATAAAGGTCCACCCCGAACAATAACACCACTTGGGCATGAGCAGACAAAAATGTACAAATTAATATGAATTAGTCACCAATTTGCAAAAATGTAAAATGGTTACACATTGCCACGAGATAGTGATGGTTCTGTCTGGTTGTTGTGACGTGAGAAGTTTTGAGAGCGACTTTCAGTGTACAACTGCCATCATGTTTGGAAAGAGTGTCAAAGTTCATTCATCGGATCAGCTTGACAAGCAGAACAACATTTCAGGAGTGAAAAGAAAACAGATTTTTATTGAGTGCTTTTCCAAACGTAACTTTTAGAACAGATTTCTTTTTTTTTTTAAACCAAAGACATCAGTGCAAAAACAGTTCAACAGGAAACCTCTTAAATATGCTAGATTGAGAAGGCGAATACAATTTTAAAGCAGGTGTTTCAAACTTTGGCCATTGCGTTAGTCTTTTTATGGCTCTTCATGAGTTTTATCCTTAAATCAGGCTGACGAATCACTTTTCGTGATGTTTCAAATCTCTAACCAGAACTGGTGCTGGCAATTTAACCACCATTTTCAAGCAATACAATCTTAAGCATCATTTCTCAACTACAAATGCAGAGGATCTGCTAGATATGAGGGAAGGAAAGGTCTGGCGTCAATCTGTAACTGCGAATATTTCCCTTAAACTGTCATCATCTGTGAGCACATTCATATTAGCATCCACGCTCCGCACAGGACAGTCCAAAATTCCCCAAAGATAAGGACGTTTTTTGTTATTATTCTCGTCTGATCATGAAACCACTGCATGTTGTAATTACTGATTTGTCTTCTTCAAATTAAAAGTTATTCGAGGCATGACAACATGCTATAAAAATCAGGCTAACATCCAGACAGAATACTTTTGTAAGTGTCTCATGATGCGGCGACAATGTATATCTGCGTATTCAATTAAACAAAGAATGTTTCAGTAATATATTTCAGAAAGAAAAAGACCACAGTGAACTTCTTTCAAATAATCAGAGATTCTTCTATCTTAGAACTCCTTTTTTTTTTAATTATGAAACATCTAAACCAAAAAGAACAAATTCTACAGCAATGAACATCACCAAATATCTTCTGTCATACAACCTATCTTGTAACTAATGTCCATTGTACACAAACTAAGTGAAAGTAAAAACACATGCAACTAAATTTGCATTGTAAAAGGCGCATAATGTAAAGTATGTATAAGGTTGAGAAGAACGCATCAACGTTAAAAGCACAAACTTTGGGGATGACGGAACAGACAACATCACTTCCTGTTTTAACGGTAACAGGAGATCAGATACTTCTCCCACTCGGAGGACCGTTTTCGGGCTCGTTCTTGGACATCACCTGGGAAACAACATCAGAAATGTTACAATAAAGAACTCGCGTCCATCATGTTGTATCCCGGCACTTAAAGGCGCCACTCACTTCTCTTTAACCCCTTGTGCTGGTTACATCTGTGAATGGCAAATCTATTCTGTGCAAGTCTCTCAGAAAGGGAATCACCTCTCCTAAAGGAGTCGAACACAAAAGGACAAACATTAGGAATTACTATCAATTCAAAACTGCTGAGACTGGGGATTAGAAGCCAGGCAAATGCACTTAAGGCAAATCTAAAAGGAAAAGTCTCATTTAAAACAGACCACAATTTGTGTAAAAACTGATCATAGCCGTTCCATCATTGTACCTTCATTACAACATGCTTATTACAACATGCTTATACCTCTGCTATGAGCTGACAATAAGTGAATTAATTGATGTTATAAATAATAATCGACCCAGTAGCATTTGTCCATTTCAAAATGAGGGTTGGTACATAATACACAGCATCATTTAGAAAGATTTATTTAAAGACTTGGACATGTGAGGAAAAACACAAATTTATCTGCAACGGATTTGCGATTTTAAACAATACAACCAAACACACACAGACTTTAGATTTACATCAGACAAGAATAAAACAAACTTGTCTGATAACAGCAGTTTGCTCAGGTAGGAATAATCAGTAACATTTTTTAGATGGGATTAGCAAGGGTTCACTGTAACGCTTGTCAACATGATTGGAACGAGAATAGGGTTGTCCTTACCTCATGGCACCAATCTTTCCCTTCTCCATGAAGAGCTCAACTTCTCCTTCCGGGTAAATCCTGGCATAAAGGGTCTTGTTCTGAACTTTGCTTTTGAACCAGCTGATCGCTTCAAAAGACCAGGTTTCTCCAAATATTGGCCTCACCTATACCATACAAGTTAGAACAGCTTAATGTATTAAAAAAAAAAAGTCCTGAAACAACAATATTAATGTTAGGTTAGGGGTATGACAAGATCTCGCCATATTAAACCGTGACAAGCCGTCTGATGATATCAGCATGACGGAGTTGAGCTTGTGGCAAAACCTTGTGCTTGCTTTATATCGTTATAAGAACTGGCAATCTACCCTGGAAAAACCATTGCCTATGTACACTCACCTAAAGGATTATTAGGAACACCTGTTCAATTTCTCATTAATGCACTTATCTAATCAACCAATCACATGGCAGTTGCTTCAATGCATTAAGGGGTGTGGTCCTGGTCAAGACAATCTCCTGAACTCCAAACTGAATGTCAGAATGGGAAAGAAAGGTGATTTAAGCCATTTTGAGCGTGGCATGGTTGTTGGTGCCAGACGGGCCGGTCTGAGTATTTCACAATTTTGCTCAGTTACTGGGATTTTCACGCACAACCATTTCTAGGGTTTACAAAGAATGGTGTGAAAAGGAAAAAACATCCAGTATGCGGCAGTCCTGTGGGCGAAAATGCCTTGTTAATGCAAGAGGTCAGAGGAGAATGAGCCGACTGATTCAAGCTGATAGAAGAGCAACTTTGACTGAAATAACCACTCGTTACAACCGAGGTATGCAGCAAAGCATTTGTGAAGCCACAATACGCACAACCTTGAGGCGGATGGGCTACAACAGCAGAAGACCCCACCGGGTACCACTCATCTCCACTACAAATAGGAAAAAGAGGCTACAATTTGCAAGAGCTCACCAAAATTGGACAGTTGAAGACTGGAAAAATGTTGCCTGGTCTGAGGAGTCTCGATTTCTGTTGAGACATTCAGATGGTAGAGTCAGAATTTGGCGTAAACAGAATGAGAACATGGATCCATCATGCCTTGTTACCACTGTGCAGGCTGGTGGTGGTGGTGTAATGGTGTGGGGGATGTTTTCTTGGCACACTTTAGGCCCTTAGTGCCAATTGGGCATCGTTTAAATGCCACGGCCTACCTGAGCATTGTTTCTGACCATGTCCATCCCTTTATGGCCACCATGTACCCATCCTCTGATGGCTACTTCCAGCAGGATAATGCACCATGTCACAAAGCTCGAATCATTTCAAATTGGTTTCTTGAACATGACAATGAGTTCACTGTACTAAAATGGCCCCCACAGTCACCAGATCTCAACCCAATAGAGCATCTTTGGGATGTGGTGGAACGGGAGCTTCGTGCCCTGGATGTGCATCCCACAAATCTCCATCAACTGCAAGATGCTATCCTATCAATATGGGCCAACATTTCTAAAGAATGCTTTCAGCACCTTGTTGAATAAATGCCACGTAGAATTAAGGCAGTTCTGAAGGCGAAAGGGGGTCAAACACAGTATTAGTATGGTGTTCCTAATAATCCTTTAGGTGAGTGTATGTGTATGGCAAGAGACAGCCATAGAATCAGTCGGATACGACTGAAATGGTAAGATAGATAGATATTACATTATGTATTTAAACAGTTGTTCAAAAAAACAAAATTATTACTTGCTTTTGATACTTTTTGAATCAATTATTGCCACATTGTTAGTATAGATGTATTGCAAGTCATTTTAAAGGCTGTTTATTGTTTAAACACCTGTATTGTTTTGCATTTTGTGACTTTCAGTCGAATTAAAGACATTTTTCCTTCTAGTCATATAATCATTGAAGATTTCTTAAAAGTAGTGAACCCAATATCGTGCATTATCTCGTGAGCTCGTGTATCGTCAGACCCAAAATAGCGTCACTCACATTTGCCAGTGAGACCTGCAGCGCTTGCACGGGTCTGGATGCCATTTCTCCACTCATTTCCTTTATATCCCGAAGAGACACGCAAACGTCGTCTCCATAGTCAATCCTCCTGACCTCCACCTTAATGTCTGTGCAGAAATCATCATCATTGACCACGTTTACCAGCACACTCATAATACGATTATGAGATTTAGCCAATATTGGGATTAAACTTTTTACTTTACCAAACGTAAACAATACCTCATTCAAATTGGTCCAGTTAAACTCATAAGCGTAGTAACCATAAACATTGTAAAATGTGGCATATTTTAACCAAGTGAACACTTTATTGGCATCTATTCCACCCTGCCTGAAGTGCGCATGTGCTTGTGATGACCGTGGATGATGCGCTAATGATGTGTAAACAGCGGTAAAGGCGGCATCACATTTTTGGGCTGCTGAAGAAACTAAGTTCATGTCGACAACGTTGCGCGACATGATTATCATGCAGTATACCCTAGTGAAAAAATACATATAAAACAAATGCATTTCAAATACATTTTAGTATACCAAGTATAAATACATGTATATTGGAACAACTAATTTTGTACTTAATGCACTTTAGCTATCCAGAAATAGTGCTGAGGTCCAACTAAAGATACACTGAAGTATATTTGACTGTGCTAGTGGAAGTGGAACTATTGCAAGTATAATTTAGATACACTTTTAATATCTTGCATTTAAAGACTGATATTTTATACAGTGATCATACTATCCTTACTAATAGTGATATTAAAACACATTTTAGGCTTAATATTAAGAATTTGTGCAATAAAGAAGTACTCGAAATAAAGTTTAATTATAATATTTATATCAGTAAGTCTCAAGTGATGTGTCAGTAAATATGTTAATGGGTTGTAGAATACTTAGTAGGAAATAAATGCATTTGAAATACATTTGAATAGGTTTTACTCACTAGGGCCGAAAAACAGCGAAAAAGACGTTTTAGGTGCATCACCAAAATAAACCCAAGACGTCCATAGAAATGTGTTTAGTACATTAAAGCCCAAAGTATACTTCAGCATACACGTCTGCGCACCGTCGGTATGAAGTAATTTTGACGTATTGAATTGCGCGTACAAAAGCGCATGTGCAAGCGACTTGATAATAATAATACGTTTATTTTATATAGAGCCTTTCTTGAGCTTGAGCGCTTGAAAACAAAATTCACTAGATCGTTCCGCGTGTGCGCTTATCTTTCTGCACTCACGGCCTAAGGAAAGGGTTGCATGCTCAACTCCGTGTGAGACGGAGTGTAACGTGGAAAATGAAGTATACCCAGGCCTTAAGGGAACATTTACACGGCAATGATGTACAAAAAAAAAAAAAAAAACGGATCCGTTTTCTTTGAACAGATGACAATGTTGTAAAACCGATCCCCATTCACAAGGATCCGTGAAAACGAATAAAAACGCTGTATTATTCATGCCAGGCCAGTAGTTGGCGATGTCACAATAGCCGTGTTTCCACCCAAATGAGCCGGAACAATTTGTCCCAGGAACTTTTTTTGCCCCAGACCGGTAGCGTTTACACCGCCAGGGTATATACAGCAATCCTTAAGTTAAATTTACTACTTTTTAATACCTTTTTTACTACCTTCAGATTTTTTTTTAAACCATCACGACACTGAATTGCAAGTATTAATCAGCGACCTTTCTATTATTTACACAGATTTTGACATATATAAATAATACATATATATGTAATTATACAAAAAATAATAGATTTAGAGACTGATGTCAGTATTACTAATATTATAGCTACTGATGTCTCGATGAAAATGATTTCCCCCCAAATTTTAAACATTTATTAGGCTTCAAAAAATATAAAAACGTATAATTTAAGTGAACTTAAAACAATCCTCTCTTAAACCCATAATACATGTCATATTTACCTGTGCCATACAGAAATTGAATATGGTTATAAAACAGTCCGCACTGCATAAATTATAAATTAAATATAGATTAATCCTTATCAAAGCTACAAGCGTTCTTTAGTCAAGAGCAGTGAGTAAGTAACTTTCTCTGTTCTTTAGGTTAACTTTACTGAGACAGACAGAATTAATGGCTGCTGTCACTTTAAGATCTGCCGCTGCTGACAGGATCTCACGCATCACATTCTCTCACTACCATTTACTTCCATTTAAGATTTTATTTAACTCATTTAACACGGTTCTTGTGAGGATACTCGACAAAACGGACATTTTGGCATAAATGTGTGTGTGTTATTGTTCGTTCAAGCGCGAAAGAGAACTCGATACTGGCGCGCGTCTTTCTGTGCGTCGTGTGTCAGGAGGACATTCACTGACAGCGCGTATATTGTCACTGTCGCGCATTAAAGCAGTTGCGTGAATAAGAGCGTGATCATAATCCTAGCTAAAGGATGACAGAAAGAACGGATGCATTGCTGCGTTAATTGCAAAGCTGGACAAAAATGAATCGCATGAGTTAACGTTGCTGTCAGCACTTGTCATACATTGCTGACAGAAAATATTGCGGTTTGAAGTGGACTCGTTTTCATGGTAACGTAGGCCTAACGTTACACCGAATGTTTTTTTAGTAACTACACAGAAATGTTCTACATTAAATATTTAGCTAACAGTCTGAAATGATCCTGACCTGAGCTAATTTCCTGAATCAACCAACTCACATCTCCTTTCTTTCTTTTCATCCATGATGACATTCGTCACCTGTTGTTGTTTCTGGCGTTTCATCACTGACTGTGTCGCAATCTATTTTTTTTTACAGTCTATGGTCGCAACCGCTATACCTGCTCATTAGAACTTTCAGTGAGCTATTTTACACAGGCTCGGTCCTGCTCCTCCGTGGCAATGACGGTGTGCGGTTAAAAATCACAACAAACGAATTTGAAAGTGTCCCCCTTGTCCGCATAGGAAATTACGCCCATGGGTAGGACATCATCCCCAGGCTTCATGAACTTGCGCTCCATGCTTTCACCGACGACGCTAACGTGACATATGGATCTCAATAACACTGTGTTGCCAGGACCCGCCCTGCTCTGCTTCTGATAGGCTTGTAACGTTAGTTAGAGCTGCATTCCTCTCATATGATTGGTAGGTGAAATCAATTGACTCGAAAATATTAAACCGCATGCAAGTTCCCCTTTTTCTTTTTGTCCTCACAGCCGAACGCCGGAGATCCGGCACGGTGCCGGATTATTAAGCCCTGGACACCTGATAGTCTGAAAAAATAATACCTAACTTGGAAAAAAGAATACCTCTGAGACCACATTTAACACTTTTAATGGCCTTAAATTTGACAATTTTGATTTATCACTTTTTAATACTTTTTAAAACCCCGCGGACACCCTGCCGGTACCGGTCTAAGGTACCGGGAAGATTATGCAAATTTGTCTGGTGGCGTAAGAACTGCGCGCGACTGCTCGTTGTCGGTCCAGTGGCCGTATTTTTTATTAAACTCCAGAGTTGCAGACAGACAACTCTTACTGCACGGACCGGAAAACATTTTTAAAAATGGCGGTTGAAATAAAATGCTGCGTGGAGTCAACCAATCAAAATGCAGCGTGAACTCAACCAATCAGCATTTTCAGAGCACAAGTCCCACCCCCGGAAGTTCCTGAACTTTGAAAAAGTACTACCTCGCGAGCAGGGACTTTCGGAGGGGGAAATATTTACCCGTAACTTCATTTAGACCCTGGTCCCTGCGGTCGAAACACGGCTTTTGTAAAAAAAAGGTTTATGTGTGCAGTCTTTACAGAGAACTTGCGGCAAACGCACATGCCATGCACGTAATCTGCACGTGTATGACGTCATCGTTTTCACAGATTCACATTTTTGTAGTTTGCACAGAGACAATAACGGTATTGTTTTCAAAACTTGCACTTTGAAACCGTTTTCAAAAGTTTACGTTTTCAGGCATCCAAAGCATTGTTGTCGCGTAAATGAACAGACAAAAACGATTTAAAAAGTTTGCTATTTTTAGCTGAAAGCGGTGTTGTGTAAACGGCCCCTAAAACTCCGGCCAGTAACACACATACACGAGTTCATTTGTGCTGTGCGTTGAGGTTTGTGAAGAATGGCGGTAAACATAACCGCAAGTTAGTTAATCTGATTATTGTAAATAATCACATTATCAGTGCATATGTAAACGTAGTCCATTTAATCAATGACACATTTTTTTTTTTGTACAGAATTAATGCTAAAATTAGAAGTTAAAAATGAAGATTCAGATTCATACCTTGTATGAGTGGGGGGAAAAAGGTATGGTGCGGGGTACGGGCAGCAGGGGGGAAAAAACCAATGCATTTCACAGATGAAATTAATAATGAACAGGATAATGAAAATATACATTTTAGGGAAAATTGCACATTTAAAACAGCTTTGTCTTACCTCTACTCAACTGAAATATTTTGATGACCTGGCCACGGCACCAGACCTCCTGCTTGGGGAACCATGCCATGACATAAGCCCCAATATCTGGGACACTATTCATCTCTGCAAAAGATCTACTGCTATTCCTACTGCGTAATCAAAGAAAACAGAAACAGACACACTAGTACCTGAACTGTACAGACAGTAGTAAAAAAAAATATAGATATGCCATATTAAACTACTTACAGCATGATTTCAGACAGTTCACAAAGGTTTGTGTCCTCGTGTTGGATGAAGAACTTGTTTGGGTGAACAACGCGAGTGATAACAACTGGGATCTCCTCAAATTTGCGACTCTGAAACTCTGGGATTTGGACATGCACACCGTCATCATCTTCAGGTTCATCAGTCAGTGTGTTGGAGCCTTTAGGGCACGACTCTTCTTCTGAGGGACAGGACCTTTGGCTGGAGAGGTTAGCAACTTTCCAGTCATCTTGGAAACGGAAATCGACCATTTCATTTGGGAATGGCTCTGCCGTAGAGTGATTTGGGTCTGAAAAAATATTCCCAGTGTCCCACAATTCACTATTTGTGGTAATCATCCAGTGATAGGCCACACAATCAACGCTGATGTTTTTCTCAGCAAATATGGGTTCAGAAACTTTCCCCTCAGAAATGACTTTATTCTCCACACTGGTCACTGCCACGACTCTCTGATCCATAGATGCCATTGCATTAAGGTTTTGTTGCTGCATCAGCCTTGATGACGCCTCAGTTATGTTTGTCATATATTCGACTTCATCAGCCGATGAAGCCAGTTCAGACGCTTGTTTTGGGTTTTGACTCCTCAGAAAGTGAATGAGCTGAGAGGATGACAACTTATGACGGCGAATTTGGTCACTACCAGTATTTTGCCGAATTGTGCTTTTTGGATTAGTATTCATCTCATTTGGGTTGAAGATCTGATTATGATGGCCTTTCACAGGTATTCTCCGATGCATGTTGATCTTCTGAACTGCAAAACCTTCAGGCTGTTCGTGAACAAAAAAATCCAACTTCATAACAGTTGCAGATATTTTCTCTCTCATTTCAGATAAAAGCAGAATATCTTTTTATTTTCATGTTCAATGCTGCTTCTATCATTTGAACAATTATTTAATCATTAGTTAAAAACATTTTATAACATGGACAAGGGTCAAAATATCACAAAGTGTGAATAAAAAAAGATATTTAAATGTAGAGAGAGAGAGAGAAAAAAGTATCAATATTCACTCTCTTAAAGGCAGGTGCAGCTGATTGTGGAGGTATTAAGTCAAAATATGTTCAATCTAATTTGCAAGTTACAGATGAGATAATGTCTTTATCACAAGTTTTTTTTTTTTATATACCAAAGGATGATGTTGTGAAGCAGTAATTTTGCTTTGCTTTGATTTAATAACATGTTGAATTTGTGCTGGTCAGACAAAGTCTGACTTGTTCCTTATTTGACAAATATGTTTAGAAAAACTATGCTCCTATAAAAATTCATCATGTAAAAAAAAAAAAAAAAAAAAAAAAAAAAAAAGTTCCATAACAATAAAATATCAAAAATAAGTGTACTGCTCAGCGAAAATTGCAATATCACCTGATTAGCAGTTAAATAACTGGGACAACTGGACATGATTGACTATAAGAGTTCGTTTCAGTGGTGGACGAAGTATAAATCAAATACTTGAGTAAAAGATGCCATAATTAAAATATTACTAGCTAGTACTTGTTTCAATTAAGCATTATTTATAAGTACTGATCGATTAAACATATAACGTTACTTATTCTAGCCAACACTAGAGAAATGCAGACATTTAATATAGCAAATTAATAAGCACATTTTTGAACATAATACAAATACTTATACACTCTCAAAACAACCACTAAAACATAAATTTAAGTTACGTATCTTTCAAATGTCAAACTGGTGAAATATGCATAGACCATTTCAAGGACGAAAACAATAAACGCGTATTTTAAAAATGGTGAAAAACAATTTTTTTGCAAATATGTGGCGAAAAATATTGTAATACAAAATATGGGGCAAAATTTGTTTACATTTTAAGAGGAACGCTATGCAAAACACACAATATAGTTTTATATTATTTGAAACTGCTACAACAGCGGAGAAAATGCATGGGCCTTCAATTCATTTGCGTTATTCGACCTAAAATCGCCATTCTGACGTGACATGAAATGAGGGCATCCACATAAAGCATTTCAAACAGCTTGCCCTTTTACAGCAGATTTAGTTTAAAAAAATAACTACTATTCACTAGTACATATTTATGACGTAAATATGATTTCACGTACAATAAACAATACTAAAATTCATTAGTCACTTACTTCTCGTGCCTGCACGCAGGTTCAAGCTTCGCTTTCCTCGGCTCTTTTCGATCGGATCGTTGAATCAGTGAGTTGTTGACTCGAGAACTGCAGCGACTGGATCAGTGCGATTCGCGAACAGGTTCAAGACGAGAGAATCATCTCGCTCATGAATCGGTCATCAAGTGGCGATTTCTTCAGTTCGAAATAACAAGGAACGATATGATTTGTGTAATGAGGTCGAGTATCCTAATGTAGGGAAGTAAAAGTAAAAGTTTAGCCAAATCAAAATACTCTGATAATATACAGATAGGCCTATTTTACAACGAAGTAGGACAACTAACGTTAGGCCAGGTTACTGTCTAGTTACCACCACTAACGTTAGTTAGTTGGTTAGTTAGTTAGTTAGTTAGTTAAACTAACAAATGTAAACTTACAACATAGTAAACTTATCACTATCCAACTTTTTTATTTACCTTCTCGACGAAGTTTCTTCAGGTTTGAATTTATTTGTGGTTCTCATCGTTTAGTGTTGTAAAAAATGCGCTTTCTCGGGAGGATTATGATCATCTTTCTGGATTAGTCGATATGCTTGACAAAAATCGGTAAGGTTGAGAAAATTAAGAAAAAGCTAAAATGCTACGGATTTCTAGGCAAGCGGTCGCCAGCTGGAGTGCAGGAGTGACTGTGACTGACTGATAAAAATAAAAAACTGACTGATTCACCACGTGCACAGCTGAGTACATTTGAGCAGTAAAGACATTAGCACGTGCACATTTAAATCTGAAGTTGTATGACAAAACATTGGAAAGATTACCCGTTTTTAAATACCTTGGTTTATGGTTTGATGAAAAATGACCATGGAAAATTCATATTAGTAAAATTGACTCAACGTGTAAAAAGATCTTAAATTGCATGCAGTTGCTAGTTACAATTGTGGAGCTAGTCAGTGCATTGCTGTGCATGTATCAAGCATTGATTCGTTCTTGCTTTGATTATGGGTGCATTGTATACGGGTTGAACTTGGTAACCAAGTCTTTACTGAAAAAAAATAGATATATTCAATCCAGAGCACTAAGAATATGTTGTGGAGCAGTTAAAACATCCCCTGCAATTGGGGTAGAAATGTGAGAGATGCCCTTAGATTTTAGAAGGGAAAAACTGGCAATGACATGCTGGGTGAATCTTCAACAATCAGTGAAAAATCATCTTACTCTGAAAATATTGGAGTGCTGGGAATATTCATATGATGGAGGAAATAGTTTTGGATGAAAGAGTAGCATGTGGGCAAAGGATTGTGGCATGGACAATAAGATCTTCTGTCCTAATGTACAAATTACTGATGCTCCACCATGGAAAGTCCCTGAACCGCTTGTTGACTTGAGCTTACTAGACAAGTCCAAAGAAGAATATATTGGAAACGAGGTGAATGCTATATTAAATAACACATTTTATTCAATTTTACAAATATTTACAGATGGTTCTAAGGAACCTGTCAGTCAAAAGGTTGGAATGGGTGTGTATATATTCTGGAATTTAAAATACAAATTAGTTTGAAGTTGACCGATGAGTTATCTGTGTACACTGCAGTTAACAGCTATAATGTAATAATAGGACAACAGTGGGTTGAACAAGTCAGACCAAACAGAGTGGCAATATGCTCAGATTCTTCTTCTGCTTCAATTAGTATTACATGCAAAATCAGACAGAGAAGATTTATTAATGGAAGTATATTTATCATTATACAGATTGAAGGAGGCTGGATTAGTGCTGTATTTTTGTTGTGTACCAGCACATGTTGGGGTCTCTGGTAATGAGGTTACTGATAAACTAGCAAAAAAAGCATAGAAAAGAGAGAGGTGGATGTTAAAATACCTATGGGGTAAAAAAGAGACAAAATCGATTTTAAAGAAAAAGGTAATGAATAAGTGGAAAAATTAGATGGGACACACAGGGAGATGGTGTTATGGATTATACGATGTGTGTGGTGTATTTGAAAATGCATGTCATGTGCTTTTTATATGTAGTAAGTATAATTTATATCGTGATACACAATTTAATCACTTTAAGAAAGGGGTGGACATAATGAAGAATGAAGATATTTTAGGAAAAGGCTTATTGGACAGACAGCTGTACAGAGCACTAATGACAATTATATATGACACGGATCTAGGGTCTAGAATATAATATGTGTGGATGCACTACTTTTAGCATTAATTGAAGTAAGCTCTAAAAAAGGTTTGAAACAGGCTACTGGGATTGTGATTAAACCCATTTCATTTACAGCAATGCACAGCATTAAGGTACAACATTCTAAATTCTGTTAAGGCAGTTATAATATATAAGTTAATATTTTGTGTTTGATTGGTAACATTACTTGAATTTACTCGTAATGTTGCAAAAGTAAACTAATAATTGAATTGGAAGTTTCATGCTTCAACACTGAAAATTAATTTAGAGAATGTATGTTTGTTTGACACTATTCAGCTGAAGTTAAACAATTTTACAAAATGGTTCAAATGTATTACAGTTGTTGAACAAAATAATTGTTTGCATAAGGAGTAATCCTCTTCAAGTCAGTATTTAGTAGATGCACCACCCATTCCAACCTTAAAGGGACAGTACACCTAAAAAGGAAAATTCTGTTTTTAATTACTCAACCTCATGTTGTTCCAAACCCGTAAGACCTTCGTTCAACTTTGGAACACAAATTAAGATATTTTTTAAATTAAATCCTATATGAATGCGTTTTTAGTCTAGATTTAAACTGACAGAGTGTGTCTGCTTCCCGGACAATGTTAGGAAGACTGTTCCAAAGTTTAGACACCAAGTTCAGTCTTTGATGTCTGTGTGGACACACATGTGGAATGCTTTTGTTGTGTTTTACGATGGCTTCTTGAATAAATAAGACAAAGGTACATACAACGATGTTGTTGATGCTGCTCTACAAAAGCAGGGAGTGCAGGATGCAGGCAGGAACTGGGCGAAGGAGCTATGGCAGGAGCTGGGGTCCAGGTCCAAGAACTTTACAGATGAAGGAAGGAGGAGGAAGGCCAGAATTTGCAAGAAGGTGAGAGAAAACCCCAGTGAATCCTAGCAGAGGAGGGGAGGGGATCCTCAGAGATGTCTATTATTATTACATTTTATAGCCTTATATACTTATAAATAGCCAATGCACAGTAGTGATTTGCTCCAGAGATGAATAATCTTTGATAATGTTTTGGCAGGTGTTGTTTGAGGAAAAGATAACCTGCCTTAAGCTGTACTTTACTCTGCTGTCCTACCCATCCTAAAGCAGTATGTCATCCTTTTTCAGTCCAAGAATCCCAAAGTTCACAAGCTCCATGATGAACAGGAAATACTGTTTAGGGAGTTTCTCACCTGCTTCATCAAGCCAGACCTTCTGGTTGACAGAAAGGGGCAGAATCTCCCTGGGGCGAAGATAAAGGTTGTCAACGTAAGGTCTCCAGAATCCCATCTTGCAGTACCATTTGTTGGCTCAGAGGCCATGTATATTGTGGATCAACTAGGGAGGAAGTACCCACTGGTTAAAGAGTTCAAGAGTAAGATCATGAGGCCTACACCAACTACGCCATGAGTCTACAAGAAAAACTGCCTCTTGACAGTCAGACGCTGAAGACCCTGTCATGCCAAGACCTAGCTGCAAGGGGA